ATCAAAACAGGTGGATGATAATCTCTTCTGAAAGTTATTTTTCTCTTTTTTCTACATGGGAGTCTGGAAATGCAAATAGATCTTGACCCATATTTGTAGCTTTTCTGGAGGCGGTATGCAATTCACTATATATATATATATATATATATATATGTATGGCCTCCAATGACTTTCATCTCGACCTTTGAGAAAAAGTGAATAACTCTTTTTCATAAATTATATTCCTCCAAATTGCACTTTTTTTTTGCGATAATATATTGGGTCAGTTTGAAAAATTTTTTTTAACCAAAAAAGGGGTAGAAATTTTTTTTTTAATTTAAGCTCCAGTAGAATATAAAAATTGTTTTCGTATTTTTATTGTTTCCATATTTATGCAGCAGTAAAAGAATTAGTATATAAAAACTATACAAATTTTTCAAAAAAATGTTAATATTAATTTTATTATTGCAAATTTTTGTTTTTGCATTGAGTTATTTTCTATATATATATATATATATATTTTAAACTTATTTAATCACAATTTAATTTTTATTTTCAATATATTAATTAGGTAATTGTCTTTTTTTATTCCCCAACAAAAATTTATTAATATTTAATTTATTCTATGAAATCACAACAACAATTCGATAAATGGAAATCATAAAAATAATTATTTAATTATTAAGAATTAATATCTGTAATCCCTTTTTATTTATGTATTTCTGAGTCAACTTCAACGACAAGAAACAAGAAATTAGGAAAAACTTTGAAAAAAATTAATTATATTGCGGATATTTTGTATCGGTTAACCTAACTTCAATTTTTGATATCTATAATTATTAATTTTAAGATTAATTTAAATTTTACTCAAGATTAATTTTAATTTAAATTAATTTTATGAAGATATTTATCATCACTTTTGAAATTTTCGCACCATTCTTAATTTGGACCAATCGGCAGTCACGATTTATTAATGTTCTTTTATAGATTTTCATTTTTTTAAGTTGGCAACGAGATCTCCTAGGAGAAAACAAACCTTACCGACTGATGGTAAAACAGGTTTTTTGAAAAATGAAATATACAACATTACCGACATAGAAATATACCTTACCGACTGATGGTAAAACAGGTTTTTTGAAAAATGAAATATACAACATTACCGACATAGGAATCTACCGTGCAGACTAATGGTGAAACAGTTTTTAAAAACTGTTTTACCATCAGCCGGTAAGGTAGATTTCTATGTCGGCAACATATACATTTTACTTATTTCCACACAAAGATAAGGGCAATAGAAAACTTTAAGCGCGGTTTAGCGCGCGCTATATTTTTCTAGTATTAAAATAAGTGCAAAATAATTTTTTTTTTTTTTTTTAATTAAAGTTTAAAGACATCAATTAGGTTATGTAATTTTTTTTTTACAAAAAGAAAGTAAATTTAAAATTATTGAATAGACAAAATTATCTAAACAAAAAAATTGTTTTTCGCAATTAGAAATAAGAATTAATATAATGAAGATTATTAAAAAAAAAAAGGTTTCGTCATTTCTTTCAATTAGTTTTGTCTGATTCCGGAAAATCAAAATTAAAAATAATAATATAAACGAACATCAAGATAGCCTTGCATATATTATTATGATTCATCGCGGCCTTTAACAAAGGACATATAAGATTATTTGAATTTAACACCTTTGTGTAATTTCTGCATAGAAAAACTATAAAAAAAATTTTTTTTTTATATTATTATTGTTGTTAAAATTCGATTGAAGAAAAATTTCGTCATAGAAATAATAATACAAATAAATAAAAAAAAAAGGGGGAAAAAATAAATTGGAACGAAATTTTGTACTAAAGAAAAAAAGTAAGAATTCTCATTTTTGTCCCGCGCAAGTATAATAATTTACCGAAGCAAAGTAGTATTCTATTTTATTTTAAAAAGAACAGGAGACCATAAAATTTATATATATAGAGAGAGACTTTTTAAATTGTTTCCTTGTTGGTTGTCGGGTGTATCGGAAATGTATTTGTCACACTTTATAGGCACGATGAACGAATTTTCCCGCTTCACGGTCTACGCACGTTCCCCGAGAGAAAGACTATATATATATATATATATATATATATTCTCTGCGCCTCAAAAGAAAAGCACGTGTGAAGAAGGTTCGTTATATTCCCCTCATTTTCTCTCTTGTTATTTCAAAATACCAATTACCAGTCAAGGAACTCAAATTGCATAAGTTCGAGTAAAAATTTCATCTAATAATTTGCGTCTACTGAAATACATTTTTATTTTTTTTAACAGCACTATTGTAAAATATAAAATAAAATATTAAAGAAAAAAAAAGGAAAATAAGAAGTTTTATGTTAATGCGCGTAGAGAATTATTTTTTTCTTTTTTTTATATTCAACAAAAAGTTGATGATCTATTCTCTCTCTATCGCCTAATGTGGCAAACCAAATCACGTCAAAGTGATGAAGAAATCAATAATGATATTTTTTTGCGTCATTCTCCCATTTAAAGGAATATAAGATTTATATTGTAATTTTCCCCAAAGGCAGGAGAGGAAATAATGCAAAAAGAAATAAAAAAAAAAAATTATCTCTTTGAAAAATAAAAAAAAATGCATTGGTTTTAATGAATCATGACAAAAAAAAGAGAAAAAATATTTATATATTTTTAGAAATAGGATAAATATATAATTTTAAATTTAAGACCAATAACAATTGATTTTACATTTTCGATGAAAATTATAACAATTTTTCATTGTAATTTATTTATATAAAAAAAATTTTAATTTGTTTTTTAATTTTTTTGAAATAAAACTATAAAAATAAATTGTTTTTTTTTAAATTGAAATTTAATTTGATAATTTTTTAATTATTAAATTTTAATTTAATAATTTAGTTCGCAAAATAATTAAACTTTATATTTATTAAATTGTGATTGAATTTTAAAATCAACTGCAATTTAAATTTCTTTCGTTTTTTGTCATAATCGAAAATACTAAATTTAAAAAAAACATTTAAAATTTTAATATATCCCACTAAATCTAAAAATAATTGATTTTAGAAACAATTCACTTCGCAAAATAATTGAACTTTGTATTAATAATTTTAAATAATTGAATTTGAAAAGCAATTACCTACGGTTTAATTTTTTTTTTTTCGTTTTTTGTCATAATCGAAAAATAAAAAAGTAATATCCGTATATTAATTAAATAAATAAATTCAATTTATATCCAATAATTAAATATAAAAATAATTGGGTTTACAAAATAATTTAACTAATTTAAAAATAATTGTTTTGAAAGAAACTAAATTGCAAAATAATTAAATTTTAAAATATTAAATTTCAAAACAAAAAAAAAACATAAATTTTGATATATTTCACCAAATTTTTAAAATTATTTGTTTTTTAAAATAATTCAGTTCGTAAAATAATTGAAATTTTTTATGAATTAATTTGTAAATAATTGAATTTTAAAAACAATTACAAATAAAATTTTTTTTTCTCTCATCGAATAATAAAAATGAAAATAATTGAATATAAAAGTAATAAAGTTAAGAAAAAAATTTAACTTATTTTAAAATAACATGGTGCTACAAAAAAAATTTTTTTTTAATATACTTCTTATGAAACCTATTGGAGGTTGTAGGTCACAAAAAACTAAGAAGAATGGTGTATTTAAAATTCTCCAAACACCCCTAAATTTTCATTTTAGAGCCAGAATATGTACAAGAACATATATATTTTCTTGTATACAAATATTAAATGTTTTTTCTTGTAAAAGATCTGGTACAAGATCTGATACAAGAAGTATAGAAATTTATTTTATTTCTGAAAATGCAAAAAATGACAAAAATTAGTAAAACCTTCATAACTTGGAGTATTTTTATCCAATCGTGTTCGTTTACAGTTCATTTGTAAAATTAATATTTGTTGAAAAAAACTTATTGTTAGCATGACCAACATGGAATAAAAACTGTCAGAACTTGACAAATACTATACATAAACAATTAAGAATGAAAAAGAAAAGAAAACTGTAATGTTCTTGAATTAGCTACTAGACCTGTAAAGAAAAAAACTACAATAATTCACTTAATTTTTTACAAAATCTATTCAAGTAGGGCTCGTTGGATGCAGAATTTAATACGCTTATATTGCGCTAGAAGAGAAAAAATGTTTAAATTAAAATTAACGATGAAAATATCAGTTAAAGTTGAAAAATTGAAAAATAAAAACCTGAAAATTTTTGTAATTTTTCTCTTATAAATATTAATTTAAACAAAAATTTCGAATATGGACTAAAAAGCTCTGTTTCTCAGCTTCAAAAGGAAAAAAAATTTTTTTTTGAAATTGGTGCAGAAATAAGACAGTTACAAAGGTTTTTATGCATAAACATACGTAAAAATGGTTTTCTGGCTCTAAAATGAAAATTTAGGGGTGTTTGGAGAATTCTTCTTAGTTTTTTGTGACCTACAACCTACAATAGGTTTCATAAGAAGTTTATCAAAAAAAAAAATTTTTTTGTAGCACCGTGTAATTATTTTGAAAGAAACTAAGTTGCAAAATAATTGAACTTTGTATTAATTTTTCAAAAATATTACATTAAAAAAAACAAATAAAAATTTTAATATATGAATTCAAATTTTTAAAATAATTGACTTTCAAAATAATTCAGTTCGCAAAAATAATTGCAAACCTTTTTTTTTAATTAATTATATTATAAATAACTAGAATTTTAAAAAATAATTGCCAATTAATTATAATTGAAATTGGAAAAAAATGAATTTTGATTTTGATAAATTATTTTTTAAAAATTTATTAAATAAACAAAATTAAAAAAAAAAAAGAAAATAATTAAAATTTCCCTACTTTTTCAGATGGAAAAATAATTGGAGCAAAGAAACAAAAGAAGTTATAAATTATCTCTTTGTTATAAAGAGAAATGAAAAATGAAAATAAATATGAAAGTGATGATATTATATTGTTATAATAATTAGCAAGTGAAATTCAAGTACCGTGTGCGTGATGATCGTGAGCTGCTTTCGGTGGATAATGCCTTTTATGGAGACAGCTTCGATGAAAGTCTGGATCAAGTCCACAACCAATTGTCTGGCAATGCCGCGGCAATAATCAAGAGCAACAACCACACTTGGCGTGACTCACAGTAAAACCACTTGATCTTCCCGTGAGTTAACGGATCCTAAACCGTTTCGACAGTTACATCCCAATGGACCGTGTTGTCTGATGGTAAAAGTCATACAAATGACAAAGAGAGTGTAACTTGCTCTTTTTTTTTTAATTCTCTTCTTCTTATTTTTTATTTGAAAAAGAAAAAAGTCAACCAAAATACAAAATCAATAAAAAAAAACAAAAGGAAAAAAAACCGCTAAAGATTGGAAGAAAAATAAATAAAAACAAAACGAGAGAGCGGAAGTGTATAAACGTTGTGTTTGTCGATTGAAACTAAGTCGTTCTCCTTTTTTTCTCTCTCTCTCTTTGGAGATGAAATCAAGAGCCGATCGCTGCTTTAGAACAGCGAACTTAACACTATCAGCTTCACGCAACGAATGCACGACGTTTCACGATCCGGTTCTACCTTTGGTTCTCCACTCTTGCTTCTACAATAACCATTCGAGGATCTTGTGGAGTGGACACTTTGTGGATCAGCGCTGAGAGTCCGGTAGCAAGTCTCCAAACAAAGACTTATGATGATCACACTTTTGAAAATGTCTCTCCTCACTCCCTCGTTTTAAAAAGACAATTATTTCTGATTATTATCTGTTTACGAGGCGCATGAATTTCACATAAAAATCATTTTTTTATTTTAATATATTTTATTTAAAATAATTATTTTTTAGATGAATTTTCATTTTTCGAATTAGCATTTGAGATAGAATTTCTTTTTATACTAATTTTTTACTAAACAACATTTTTAGCTACCGAATTTTTCGTTTGGCAGAATTTTTATTTTACTGACATTTTCTTTACATGAATTTTTATTTAATCGAATATTAGGCGGCGGTTCTGTGAATGACTTGATAATATGGTGTCATTAAAAATGATAGCGATATTCTTGAAAATGAAAACCAGAAGCGACTCCGCCAACGAGTCGCTAATATGGAGCCATAAGAATTTATACAGTTAAATGAATTTGCATTTTAGAAAAATTTAATTAACTAAGCGTCAAGTTGAGGGAATTGTTATATGGCTAAACTTTATTTAACCGAATTTTTCGTTTGACTAAATTTTATTCCCTAGCGGAATTTCTATTAAATTTAATCGAATTTTATGTGATTTGAATTTTTAAATGCCAAAAATTTACCAAATTTCAAATTTGTACTAATTTTTAATTGGTAGAATTTTTTTAGACGCTCAATTTTCATTTGTATTTGTAATTTTGGACAAATGAAAATTCGGTGTTTTAAAAAATTCTATCAATTAAAAATTCGTACAAATGAAAATTGCGACAATTTTTGAAATTCGATGAATTGGAATTTATGTCATTTAAAAATTCGAATCACATAAAATTCAATTGAATGAGAATTTTTAAATGACAAAAATTACAATTCACCGAATTTTAATTTGTCTAAATTTGTAAGATTGGTAGAATTTTTTAAGACATTCAATTTTCATTTGTCCAAAATTATAAATGACCGAACAAACAATCGACAGAAAGAAAATTTTCTTAATAATTTTGAATTGGTCAATTTTAAAAAATTACGCCAACATCTTTCTGTCAATTGTTTTTTCGGGCATTTGTAATTTCGGACAAATGAAAATTCGGCGTCTTAAAAAATTCGTACAAATTTGAAATTCAGTGATTTGGAATTTTTGTCATTTCCATTTTAAAGTAATATTTAATTCGACGAATTTATGATTAATCGAATTTTTATTCAGCTGAATTTTTTAGACTTTTTATTTAACCGCGAGTACTTATTTAACCGATTTTCTGTTTAATGAAATTTTTTATTTAATTAAATTTTCATGTTAAGCACAGCTCTTTTATTCGGCAAAATTTTTATGTAGAAGAATTTCCATTTAGTGTGTGTATTTAACCAAATTTCCAAATTATAGAATTTTCATATATCTAAATTTCCATTCAATGGAATTTTTATTTAATTTTATGTATAGATGAATTTTCATATAACTTTGCTTATTTTATCGTATTTCCATTGTTTGGAATTTTTATTCAACCAACTTATTATTTTGCATAATTTTAATTTAGCAGAATTGAGACTTAATATAACAATTATTCAACTGAATTTTGACGTAAATGAATTTTTATTTAACCGAAATTCTATTAAACTGAAATTCGTTTAAATAAGAATTTAATTAAATTTGTATTTAACCAAATTTCCAATTAGTAGAATTTTTATTTATTTTTTTGTCGTAGTTTAATAGAATTTTTATTTAAAATATTTATTTAACTGAATTTTCTATAACAAAAATTTTTTGTGAATAAATTTTCATGTCGCGAAATTCCATTAATTCACTTAACCGAATTTGCATTTAATAGAATATTTATTTAACCATTTTCTATTTAGCATATTTTTATTGAGCAGAATTTTCACTTCACATAATGTTTATTGAATCGAGTTTCCATTAAATAGGATTTTTATTTAACCAAATTTTCCTTTAGAAAATTAAATTTTCCTTTAAAATTTTCTTGAGGCAAACTTTTATTAAGCTGAATTTCCATTTAATTAAATTTTTATTTAACAAAACTTCAATTTAACAGAATTCTTACATAATAAATTTCCATTAAATCGAATTTTTATTTAACTGAATTTTTCTTCAATGGGTTTTTTATATAACCAAAAATTTTCGATCTGTCGACATTTTGTTAAATAAAAATTCTGCTAAAACTCAAAATTCAATTAAATGAAAATTCAGTTAAATTGTAATTACTTTGAAAAAAAATTGAATTTGAAATTTTGTTTGACGAAAATTTGGATAAATTGTAATTATTTTAAATAAAAATTGAGTTTGAAATTCTGTTTAATGAAAATTTGATTAAATTGTAATTATTTTAAATAAAACATGAATTACTTTAAAATTCCGTTTTTAATGAAAATTCTGTCTAATAAAAATTATATGTTTAATTTAGTAATTTGAGAAAAATATATTTTTTTCTTAACCATTTACTATAATTTAAAGAAATGAAAAAAAATATTTAAGTACCTGAATAAATATAAATAAGTAAATAAATAAACAATAAACGATGAATGTTAATAAATTTTGTTAGGCCATAAATGGATTAAAATTAATAATGCCATTAATTAAAGTTGTCTTTCTCGTGTTTAGTGAAATTAATTAAACTTTCTCTGGGAAAGTTTTGCGAACCTATAGTGTTAGATTTAATACAAGTCATACTTTCTTGGACACGTGTGTGATGATTGCACAAGGAATATTACTTTTACGTGTATATATACATATATACATTTAAGATTGTTCTTTTCTTTATTTTGTATATCATATATATATAAAAGCCTTTTGTGAAAGAATTATTACACCGTTGTAAGTGGATCTTTATCTTTTAGCGAAATTTCCACTTTAACTGAATTACCGAGTAATTCTGTTAATTTTTTTGAAAATTCTTTAAGATAACCACGTTCTGAATCCGAATGATTTGTCAGTATTACATTACCGCCTTTGTGAATTAAATCTAAAATATCGTGATGAAACATTTCACCAGTAAGATATAAATCGGCTGGTGGCGACGATTTGAAAACCGATGTTCCTGAACCAGCGCATAATGCAACGGTTTTTATACAATCATCTGAATCTATAAAGGAAAATATATTTATTTATTTTTATATTCATTTATCTCAACAAATATAAAAAACCAAAGTTTAAATAATTTTTTTTTATTCATTTCGAATGAATCAATTAATTTCAATAAAATTTATTTTATAATCTATTTCTCCGAATGTCATCGTTTTTATTATTAATTAATAATAATAATAATTAATTATTACTCACTTGAACCACGTTTACAAGCCAATCTCACGTGTGAGAGTTCTGTTCGCATTTTGACAATGTTAACAGCTTCTTCAACTGTAATTGCTTCCTTTAATATACAAAATCGACCAAAACCAGTTCTTGGATCCGATAATCCAGGCTCAATGGGACTACTCGACTCCAGATCTATTTATAATTAAATCTCACATTTAAATTATCTTTTCTTGGGAATTTGAAATGTCATTTTAGATTGTTACTCACTAAAAGCCGTTGCAAGCCAATCGTTAACACCTCCAACAACAGAATCAAAACTTGTGTGAGGCGAATAAAGAGCTATTTTATTTTCCAAACATTTAGCTGCAATTCTTTCCTAGAAATTTACGATTATTATTGTAATAAAAACTTGTTTATTAATTTAATAATAATAAATAGTAATTAAATAATAAATTAATGAATAAATAATAATAAAAAAAAATAAAATAATTATTTTATACAAATAAATAAATAATAATAAATGAATAAAAACAAAAGTTAATTCTTTTTTTTATTCATTACATTATTGATATTATTTTCTAAATTAAAATTTAATGAGACAAATTTTTCATTAAAATTTAACTTTGTAAAGAAATTAATTAATTATTTTTTAGAAATTCACCTTCCAAGTTCTTGTTGTTAGGGATTTTAAAGGACTAAAAATAGGAGGATGATATGATAAAATTAAATCGGTTTTAATATCAACAGCTTCTTGCATTACATCCTCGGTTAAATCGTTGGTCAATAAAATATGTGAAATATCCTTTGGCTCGGTAGGTTCAATCAATAATCCTACATTATCCCACGATGCCGCAAGTTTTAAATTTGCAAAGCCATTTAACGATTCGACGACATTTTTTAATGGTAATCCCATTGTGTGAGAAAAATTAACAGAATTTAAAAAATGTCTATTCAAAATTTTTCGATTTAATGTCAACTCAACCAATTTTCCAATCATGAATTATATTCTGGAACAAAAAAAAAGAAAATCAAAGGGAAAATTATTTATTATATTTGGACCAGCTGATTTTGTAAACCTATGTAAATAATTAACAAAAAAAAGAGGAAGAAAAAGAAAAAAAAGTCGAAAAATTGTTAAGAAAAAGACAAAGTTTGAAAATATAAGTCCGTATATTTGTTTTCTTCTATATTACATAAAACAATAATTACTAAATAAACAAAGTCAATCGCTGTAAAACCAAATTTTCACCTCTCCATCATCGCTAGCTGATGCCAAATAACCAATTTCAGTTGGACTCCATTGAACTGAATTCACATCTTGTGAATGAGCATTTTCGGTACTATAAACAAGACTAAATGTTGGTTGATTTAAATCGGAATCATCGTCTTCTTTGAATATTCTTATGATATCATCACCGCATGCTGTTGCTATTAATCCAGTATTTTTACACCAATCAATATCGTATATTGTTCTTGTATGATAACCCGACAATGTACAAACACATTTCCAAACTGGTTCATTGTCAGGTGTTGGTATTCCTTGTTCATTTTCTGGTTTATATTCCTGCCAAATTTTCACTGTTTTATCATCACTACAACTTGCTAATCGATCGCCTGTTTTATTAAATGATAAACTCCAAACGGTCGATGTGTGTGACGATAGTGTCGCAACACAAATCCAATCGGAATCGGCTGTGTCTTCTTTGAAAATTTTTACTGTATTGTCATAGCTCGCCGATGCTAGAATATCACTTGTTGGATGCCATCTCACCTGAGAAAAAAATACATTTTGTTTTGTTGAAAAAACCACAATTTCAAAATTAATATTTTTATGATAATATCCTATTGAATTTCTATTTGGACCGAATTTGATAAAAGTGAACACGTTTCAAACAATGAGAGAATTTTTTGTTATGATCATTTTTATTGTTCAATAACCGAAATGAAAAAAATACCCCAACTAATTTATTTATTTATAAAATAGAATTTATATTCAATTAATTTCTTATTGTAATAAATTTTTCTTACATTGAATTTATATTTAACAGAATTTGCATTCAATAAAATCTTTATTTAATCGAATTTTCATTGAATAGAATTTTTTTTAAATTAACTTTCCATTTGATATAATTTTTATTTTACCAAATTTCCATATAGTTAAATTATTATTTAAATTAATTTCAGTTAGCAGAATTTTCATTTAACATAACGTTTAATGAATCGAATTTCCACTAAATAGAATTTTTATTCACCAAAGTTCCTTCTTATAGAATTCGTATTTAATGTAATTTTTTATAAAGTAGAATTTGATTTATAGAATTTCTATTAAATAGAACTTAATTTCAAACTACTTAACTAAATTTTGATTAAGTCATATTTTCAATTAACAGAATTTTTGTTTAATTTACACTATTAGGTTTAATTTTAATAAAACTTTTATTAAAATTTTAATCAACTATAAACCTAGGAAATTAAGAAATTGGTAAAACAAAAATTCAGCTAACTGAAAATTTGAGTAAATGGATTTCCGTCAAATGAAATTTCGGTTTAATAGAAATTCCGATAGGGAATAAAATATAGTGAAACAAAAATTCGGTTAAATATAAACTTGGCTTAATGGAAATTTGACTAACTGGAAATTATTAAATAATTTTCTGTTAAATGGAAATTCGGTTAAAAAATAAAGTTTAGCCAAATAAGAATTCCCTTAACTTGACGCTTAATTAAATTTTTCTAAAATGTAAATTCGTTTAACTGTATAAATTCTTATGGACCCATATTAGCGACTCGTTTGCGGAGTCGCTTCTGGTTTGCATTTTCAAGAATATCGCTATCATTTTTAATGAAACCATATTAGCAAGTTATTTACAGAATCGCCGCTTATTTTCTTTTTTAAGAATGTTGCTATCATTTTTAATGATACTATATTAATCGAATCAGCCCTTATTTTTGTTTTCGGAAATATCGCTATCATTTTCAATGACGCCACATTAGCAAGTCATTCACATCACCGCCGCTAAAAATTCGATTAAATTAAAATACAATTAAATAAATAGTCATTTAAATTAAATGTCAGTAAAATACAAATTCTACCAAACAAAAATTCAATAGCTAAAAATGTTGTTTAGTAAAAATTCTTCTGAAAATAAAATTCTGTAAAATTTTTAATTCGAAAAATGAAAATTCTAATTAATAATTTTTTGTGGAATAATCATGAGCCCCATAATAATTGAATTGACCCTAAAGAATAATAAAAAAAATGAAAAATACCTTCTTAACATCTTGAGAATGTGCATTAATAACAGCAGCGCATTCATATTCGTCGTCATTAACTTCCCAGACCCAAACTGACTTGTCACGACTGCATGATGCCAATAGTTGTCCACTTGCCGACCAACTGACACTTTTAACTTCATTTTCATGACCTTCCAATGTTGCAGTGCATTCAAATTGACCTGATTTTTTATCCCATATCGCAATTGTGGCATCGAAGCTCACCGATGCTATGTAATTTCCGCAAGGAGACCATGCAATCTCCCTTATTGTTCTCGTATGACCTTCAGTTAAAATTGTCTTTATGACCCACTGGCTGCCCTTCGGGGCCCAGATCCTGATTGTTTTATCTTCGCCACAAGACGCGACACAACTGCCAAGCGGATGCCAACAAACATTCCACACTCTTCCCCTGTGTCCGGTAAGGCTTTGTTTTAATTCCAAAGTGCCCATAACTAAAATCTGAAACAGTTCAACCGGGATGTAAAAAAAATAATATGCGACACAAGGGAGCAAAGTGAGGGAATGTCTGATGTGCATCCTTCATGAGTAGAAAAAATTTACAATTTTTTTTCTCGACACTTTTAGCACCAGATAAGATTAACGAAAACAAAAAAAAATTCTTTTCTAAGTGCATGAGAAATTTATTTTGTTAATTAACAAAAAAAATATCAACTTTTACAAATGCTGGATTGAAATAAAAACTTAAAATTCACACTCAGGTAACAATTTCAGAATTGCTGCACTGAAAGAAATTATTCGTTCAAATACTATTTAATTCAAATAAATATTTACTTGAAGCAAATAATTTTTATTTGAATTAAATAGTATTTTAACGAATAATTTCTGTTCTTGAAACAAATATATACCATTTAATTGACTCAAATAATAATTATTTAATACAAATACAGTAGGACTCCGGTTATCCGAGCTAATGTGGACCGGACCTACCTCGGATAAGGCGAAAACTCGGATAATCCGAATTGTTATTACAATTTAACATTATTATTGTTTAAACAATTATTATTTATTACAAACGGGAAAATAATATTGTATATATTTCATAATAATTTAAACAATTTGAATTTATTAAAAATAAACTCAGATTTATAAAAAATTAAAAATAATTCGGATGAAGTAGACTAGACTCAGATAATACAAAATTTCCTACTGGGACACCACCTCGGATAATCGAGACCTCGGATAAAGCGAGCTCGGATAAACGGGGCTTTACTGTAAATATTTATATTCGATAATTAGTCAAGTATTTGAATCAAATAAATTTTTTTTCAATGTATAAGAAAAAAATTTTCAATTTCCGGTACATTAAAAAATTTTTTCTGGCAAAAATTTTTGAATAAATTTCATGAATTTTAATACAATTCTTAATAATTTTATTTTAACAAAATTTAATTGGTTAATAAATATTTTATTTTAAACTAATGTTATTAGATATTAAATTCATTTTATTAATTCTGTAATGAGAATAATTCTATAATGATTATCAAGAAAATTTATTTCGAATATTTCAGAATCGAACTAATTGTAAGACAAATTTTCAAAATTTTATTTAAATAGGACAAATTTCTGAAAAAAAAATTCTTAAAGTTCCATTTTTATAATTTTTTCAAGTTTGATTTAAGCAATTTATTCGAATTAAAAATTTTGTCATAGTTTTTAGTTTTGATGGTCAAAAATATTTCAGTCAATACTTAATCAAGTTTTACAAATTTTTAAATAATAATAATTTTGGAACAGTTAAAGTTGAATTTTTTTTTTTTAGAAATAATTGAATTTCAAAAGATTTTGTTAATTTTCAGACAATAATTAAATTTTACAGAACTAAAAATAATTTATCAAATAATTTTAGATAACATTTTTTAAAAGTAATTGAATTTTCAAAGATTTACAATTATTTTGATTTTTAATTTAAAATTTTTGATGATTTCTATTACTAAAAAAATTATTAGAAATTGCAGATAAAAATACAATAATTTGAAAACATTTTAAATGAACAATGATTTTACATAGTTGAATTTTCGAAGAATATTATAGAAAATCATTCAAAATAATTGAATTTCAGGAGAGTTATAATTAAAATTATTAAATTTAAAAAAAATTTTAGATGCAAAATTTTAGAAATAATTAAATTTTAGAAGCTTTAAATGGAAATTTTTGAAAATAATTAAAAATTTCAAGTGATTTTGAATTAAAATTTTTTGGTAATTTTATTTAACAATTTTTTTTGAACTATACATAATTTTATAAAAATTTTAATTGAAAAATAGTTTAATAATTGAGTTTGTGAAGAATTTCATTAAAATTATTGAAAATAATTATTTTGATGAAGAATTTTAGTATATTATTACTAATAATAATTTCGAATTAAAAAAAATAATAATAATAATACGGAAATAATAGTTTTAAAAAAAAAATTTAGTATAATTCTGATATTTCTTGAAATATTTAGTTTTAGATAAATTCAAGATTAGTAATTTCCAATATAGGTACTTGAATCTAGAAATCTAAATTCAATTTAATCTTCATACGAATTAAATTACGATTACGATCTTTACGATTAAAAATAATGAAAATATAAAACAATTAAGCTATGAAATTTGTGGTTTTGAATCTAACAATTCAATTAAAAAAAAAAATGAAAAACAATTTTTAAAATATTAGCGCAATATTTTCAGATAAATTAATAATAATTAACATATTAATAGTAATAAATTTTTTAATTACCTGAATAAAGTTTCTTTCGTTAAACTCAAAATCCAATAAAAAATATCTTCATTGGAAATCTCAAAAAAAAAAATGATTACTTCGTAATTATTAACGATACTTTACAAAAACTATATCCCATATATTTTCTTGTAAAATATAAATATGTCTAAATTACAAAACTTGAAAAAATAACTTACAGTTAAAATAATCTAATGTAATGTAATGTAAAAAACACGAGTTTTTAATTAATGTAAATGCCGAATGTTATTTCTTGGTGATGTGCATTGACAAATGTGTCAAAAAGGTTAGGTAAGTTAAGGTTATGTTAATTTTAATGTTCAATTCATATATTTCTAAACACGTGTTTTGCTTACCGAGACAAAATTTTTATAAAACATTACAGAATATGAGTAGTCCGGAAATTAGAAATGTATGTAAATGAATTTTTTAATTAAATATATTAAGAAAAATGTAATTTAGCGATATTTTTGTAATTTTTTTCTTTTTCATAATTTTTACGTTTTGTTGATTTTTTTAGAGTCAATTATTGACGTTTTTTTTTTAAATATATCTTTAATAATAAATAATATTTAATATTGTTTAATGTTATAATTTTGAATTTAAATTTGTGTTGTATTTATTTGAATATAATTTTTATTAAAGTGACCTGATGATGGTGGCGAACACAGACCACCGAAACGTTGTCCTAAAAATATTTAAAAAAGTGAAAGATTGTTTTTTTCTTTTACCTTACATCTTCCAAAAAATCGAAAAACTAATTTATTAAATAATTGTGGAAGAATAAACTAAATATTATATCTTTAATAATGATTTTTTATTTACTATATATATATATATATATATATATATATATACATTATTTTATTATTTTTTTTACAGTTCAGGGATTTTCTGCTTCTGTATAATCAAATTTCTGAAACGTGTTTTAATCATTGTACAAATACATTCCTTACTAGAGAGATATCACCAAATGAGGTAAAATTTTAAAATATATGCCTATTTTTTTAGATACCTAATGCAAACTATTTTTTTTGTTATTTTTTATTCATATTCCTTTCTTATTCCATAATTCTACGGGTTTTTAAATATATTTTTACCCTATTTTTCTGGTTATAATTTTATTTATTAATTATTATTTATAATATTTAATGTAATATTTTACTTTTTAAGTTTTACAATATATTATTCCCTCATCAATTTTCCTTTATTTTTATCAATATTATAAAATAATTGTTTATTATACACTGAAAAAAAAAATTATTTGCAAATAAATATATTTATTTATTTATTAAATAATTATAAATTTTTATAGAGATTTTTGTTACCTAAATTAAATAATTATTATTATTGGAGTCAATTACAGTTTCAAATACAGAAATTATTGATGCAAATAAAATTTATTAAATTCAAATAAAAATTATTTGCTTCAAGTAAATATATTTATTTTGATAAAATAGTCAAGTAAACGATTATTATATTTGAATTAAATAAAAAAATTTTTTCAGTGTATTATAAAGTCCAAACAATATTTAAATTGTAATTTAAAATTTTCTTTATATTTGCAAAAAAAATGTACTTACTTTTTTATTTATTGATTCACTATAGGATGTTTGTGTAAATAATTGTGCTCAGAAATTTGTGAATACCAATCACAGAGTTATGGAAGTTTACTCGGAAATTTTGCCAATTTTTACCAAAAAAATGATGGAAGCAAATGCAGCGCAAGTAGCGGCAGCTGTTGAAAAATCGGAAACTCAATGAAATTTTTATTTCCTGTAAATATTATTATACTATTTATTGACGAAATAATGCCTATAATAGTTTATAATTAACTACTAATTTTGTGTAATTGTGATTTTAGATAATTAAATTTTTAAATTTAAACCATTATTTTTGAATTAATTTTAAAAATTTCACAATCACAACAAGGAACAAGTATTTTTTTTTTCAAGAACAAAAAAAAATTTAATTGATGTTTAAAAAATTAAAGAAAAATTTCTATTTCAAAGAAAAAAAAAATTTTTTTTTAACTTTCAAAAATGTAACGATATTTTTAAACATTAACAAATTTTTTTTCTGAAGAAAAATGAAATAATAATAATTATTTTTATTATAGTAATTAATGTTTAAATATCGTGAAAATAAAATTAAAAATAAGCCTTCAAAATTTTACTCAAATTCATTAAAATGTTTGTAAAATTTTCTAAAAAGAGAAAAATTTGTTTTAAAAAATTTGGAGAACTACAAATCTTTTTCAACGTGTAAACCAAAAAAACATAAATTGTTTAAACATCAGATAGATATTTATAAAAAAATAGACAATTATTTTGTTATTATTATTATTATTTATTTAAATTTAATTTTTCATATACAAGTCTCATTATTTCTTTTTTTTTTTTTTATTTGCTTTTACAATATTTCATACTACAATGTTGTTTAATTTATATAACAATCGTAATATTGACTTAGCACATATGACGACGTAACATTCGACGAGCCATTGATTCAGTCCAAGATGCATGAGCATAAAATTCCTGGAATGTTGGCTCAGTAAATTCTCCCTCTGGACGAGTAATGTAAATTGGTTCATTGTAATAAGTACCAACATCCCAATCAGGATCATTTTTCATTAATTCCCTTTCCTCGTCACGATTCTTTCTCACTTGTTTCAAAAAACTGTATCAAAAAAAAAAAAAAAGAAAAATGAAGAACAAAGAAATTTAAATTTTGTTGTTAATATTTTTTTAATTAATAAGAAGTCCCAAAAAAATGTAATAAAAAAATTCCATTAATTAAATTTCAATTAATTGGAATTTAAATGGGAACAAAATTTTGGTTTAAACAAAAATCTTAACTTTTAGGGAGAAAAATAAAAAAAAAAAAGTTAAAAATCCTTTTTCGTATCAAAATTATATTCCGAATGAAATTTTAATTATTTTTTTTCTGGAGGTCTGTATTCCTGGATTTAAACATTTATTAATTAATCAATGTATATTTATTTTTGCATAAGGGGTAAGTCCACGTCAGAAATATCAGAATCTGCAAGTGGTTCTTCGATTTTAATGATACCTGGTAAAATTATAGCTTTATATAAGAGCAATGTGTAAGTAAAAGGAATTTTTAAAATATCTAAAATTGTAGGAGTTATATCACTTTTAATTTTGATACTGCATTTTTTTCTTTCCTTTATATCTCGGTCAATTTTCAACCGATTTTAATGAATCAAAAACGATTTTTTTCAGAAAATTACGTATTTTCAGAAAATTTTAAAATAAAAATAAAATTTTGTTATTTAAATAGAAAAAAGTAAAAAACATAATTTCTTTTTGATTTTTTTTCAATTTCGACCTCTTTTTTTTAATTTTTAATTTTTTAATAATATTCCTTTTTATTTTATCTTTAATTTAAAAAAAAATTCATTCTGGAGACTTTTTTAGATCTCGTGATATCGTCCTTTAAGTATTATAAGTCTTCATCAATTTGAAATCCGCAGGACTTGCTTCTATCATTACTTTCATTTGTTTGTTGAAATTTTTTATGGTTATGAATAACTATTTGTTTTAGAATCCTCTAAAAGAAAGCGCTAAAAACTTCAGCTACAATTTCAGGTTGCATTGTTAAAGTTTCATTACAATTTATTTTAAATTATAAATATAACAAAAAATAAAAACTTTGCTTCAAATCTATTAATAAAATATTAATTTGCTTGAATTTTCACTTGGTTTAGTCAAGTAATTTAAAAATAAAAACATTATTACGCGAATGTTTCTAGTTTGTAACAATAATATTATAAAACAAATGAAAGTAGAAACACAAATCTGGATCCTAGTTTTCTTGAGATGTGGATATTTAAAGAACGATATCGCGAGATCTAAAAAATTCTCCAGGATGAATTTTTTTTTAAATTAAAGATAAAATAAAAAGGAATATTATTAAAAAATTAAAAATTAAAAAAAAGAGGTCGAAATTGAAAAAAAATCAAAAAGAAATTTTGTTTTTTACTTTTTTCTATTTAAATAACAAAATTTTATTTTTATTTTAAAATTTTCTGAAAATACGTAATTTTCTGAAAAAAATCGTTTTTGATTCATCAAAATCGGTTGAAAATTGACCGAGATATAAAGGAAAGAAAAAAATGCAGTATCAAAATTAAAAGTGATATAACTCCTACAATTTTAGATATTTTAAAAATTACTTTTACTTACACATTGCTCTTATATAAAGCTATAATTTTACCAAGTATCATTAAAATCGAAGAACCACTTGCAGATTCTGATATTTCTGACGTGGACTTACCCATAAATCTCTAAAAATGCGCATTAACTGTACAAATTATATATATTTTTTTTTTTTTAAATTAATGATCACTTACGCTCTATCTCTCTCAGCCATAAGCATTGGAAGCATGGCAAATCTTGCACTTCGCATTTCAATATCTTCTCTATCAACTTGTTTCACAGTTAATCCATATATATAAAATCCAATAAATTGACTGGCAACAAATGCAGCGATAGTTGCTGGAGCTACAAAAAAAAAAAATTTAAGAGGCAAGTTTATTATAAAAAAAATTTGTTGCCTTTTTTCTAATTTACCAAATTTCATAAAGATTTATTTTAACAATTATATTGGTAGTTTGCGAAACAATTTGTAATTATATTTTATATTCTTGTTTTTCTTTTTTTAATTCTTATCTGCTACTAAACTATAAAATTCTACTTGCTAACAGTTTTATTATAATATTTTTGTAATTTTTTTTTATTATTTGTTCGAGTTGATATCAAAACTAAACAAAAATTTTCATAAAAATTTTATATTATACAAAACTTAAATATTGTTAATTATCACATTGTATTTTTTTAATTTTTTTTTTCAAACATATTAATTTTTTCGTTAATGAAAAAAACGTTTCTTTTTTTTATTATTTTGTACATTCAAATTTTTAGATTTTTTAATAACGTTACCTATTTATTACATAATTTTTTGTTGTTATTTTTTACGTACAGAAAATTTTTTTTTTAATTTTTTACATGCAGAAAATTCTTTTTTCTTTGTTATTTCTTTAATAAAGAACAAAATTTTTAATTTCTTATTTTACAAATATTTTACAGAGTAATTTTTTTTTACTTAAAACAATAATAATAATAATGTGGCGTAAGTTATAGTATTACTAATTATAAAATTTTCTTTTCTTTTTTTTCATAATATAAATATATTTTATAAATTGTATATTGTATTAAAGAACATTGATCGTAAATTAAAAATAAATAAATATATTCATATTTTGAAAATTGAAGGAAAAAAAAACTAAATGTTACGTAATAATTTATAAAGTATAAAGTTTAGATTAAATATGTTTTTTTTCTCTCTAAAACTTTTTAATTTTAATAATAAACTCTTTTTAATAATTAAACAATTGAAATTAATTAAAACAAAAATTATTCCTCGATTTTATTTTTACATAAAATTTTGAGGTTATGTCAAATATTTTTCACAAGGTAAATTGTAATTATTAATTTAATTTAATTAATTCTTTTTAAATAATTTAATTTCTCATTTAATTAATTAATAATAAATTAAAAAATGAAGACAATCAAATTTTTAGATGAGAAGGTAATAAAAAAAATAATAAGTAAAAATGTTGAAATATTCAAAAAAGAAAAAAAAATTGACAATAAGAGAAAAATGACATTTACCTGAAATAATTGATCGTAGTTTAATTCGTTCAATTTGAATGGGACCATAACCTCCTTTAGGAGGCATATCCTGAGGTCCCATTTTTGCCTTTGATGCCATTGTGCTCCAATTATTTTTTTTATTTATAATTATAAAAAAAATAATAAAGATAATAGATTTCACGATTTCAGCATATCAAACAGGTGCTTTAATACACAAAAATATCTCAACTCGGCAGAGGCCGAGAGAATATTTGCCACACACTTAAATAAACAAAAAAGATTACCAATAATTATAGGAAAAATTATTTTTTTTTTGTTACAAAAGCAGACGAATGAAAAATAAATCCTATGAGTCTAGATTTCACAAGAATCGCAACCAAAAATACAAAAATTATATAAACACCATATGGAATTTTTCATCAATGAATCAAATTATAAGTTTTCTTTAATATTTTGTTTTTATATTTTTAAAGTTAAAAACATTAATTTATTTATTCAATTCTTATAATAACAATAATCTGTTTTTGTTAATAAAAAAATATTTAAAAGGAATTGTAAGGTTAGGTTAGTGATTGCAGCGCTGTCAAAATTCCACCAATCAGATTTGAAGCAAATATATAGCGGGTGATTATAAAACTTTTTGAAAATTAAATAAAAAAAATTTTATTTATAATTTGTTATGATTTTTTCAAATAACTACAGAGAGAGAGATAATTTTAATTATAAATTTTTGCAAAAAACAGAATACGATAATTATTATTATAGAAAAAAAGAAAATGGTCCTTACTGCGCAAACGCATTGTACGTCATTTTTAAAATCCGAACAATTACAAACATAGAAAAAAAATTGCAAATTAATTTTTTAATTATTAAATACCATTTATTATTTTCAGAAAAATTTCACCTATTCTTACGGATTTAAAGTTAATCATTAATTTGTTTTAATATTTTCCGTTTAGAATTTTTGTTATTTTTGTCAAATAATTTTCTTTTATTTCGCGCTCAAACGCTCGTGATATTTCGTGACGCGTCGTAGAAATGGCAGCAGCAAAGTGTAACGAGCGACTATTATCTCGCTCGAATATCGATTCGATATTAATCGATATGCGATTAAATGTCGCGGTAAAATATTCCAATTTAAAATAAAGTTCAAATAAACATTTTTTGATTTTATAATAAATAATATTATCTTGAGATTGAGAAGGACTTCCCACACAAACATAAAAATATAGCAATAAGTTATTTTGTGAATATACATTTTCTACGAACCTATTGTTCAACAAATTTCTAAAAGATAATAAAATCATAAAGTGCAGATGTTTAACAAATCTGCACTCTTTAAAATAAATTCATAAAATTGTTTAGATTTTCAAACATATTGCAGTAATACTCAAAAAGGTCTTTTTGTAATATTTCATATGTTGCTTCCTAAAAATAAGCATAGTTATAAAGATAACCAAAAAGGATTATCCCTAAAAGCCATAAAACGATGCTGGCTACATTTCAAAAGTAAGACCCTTTTTTAGTAGTACCGCAATAAAAAGTACATCTGGTAACCAAGAGCAATGTTCGCCTATTTTCTCAAGAAAATGTCACGTATTGGGAAAACCCAATTTTCTTTATTTAAAATTGATATAAATATGTAAACTAATAATCTCTAAGTTAAATAATTATTTTAATTATCGAATTGAAATTAAATGTAATAACATTGCTACAGGAATGATATAAATAGTAAAACTCATATATACATATATGTTTATGTGTATATAATTATAAATTGTTAATAAAATAACATGTATAAATTAATATTTAATTTATTGTGTGTGATATTATACTAATGTTTCTAAAAATTAATATGGTATGAATCTTATGATTAGAGTGCATAATAATTATTATTATTATTTAATTTATTTATATATATAATATAATAGTGTGAATTATTATATACTCTGCGTAATGTATATACTGAGAGTACTTCCAGTATTTGTGTATGTATGTGTTACACAGTGAAGTGCGGTGTAGTGTTGGTGTTGAAACGCTGGATACACCAGCAAGGAATGCGCGTCATAGCCGATCATGCGCATTCCGCCTAAAATGGACCCAAACCGGAGAGTACCTCCGAAGGACTTGAAAATCTGACAGTTAGTTCTAATCTCTCTCTTGACTTAGACGGTTGCTTCCTCAAAGCTCCTAAGTCAATTTGTATTGTAATTTATATTTAATAAATCTTAAGGGTTTTACTCTTGACGAAGAATTGATATAATTCTTCCTTAAGGGCTTTCCCATTCCTTTATTGGAAATTCTGCCTTTTTATTTATTTAAAATTCCCGGTTCCTCTTAAGGATTTAACCAAAGTAAGAACTCGACGAATCAACGTGCGTATGTGACGCTTGCGCGTTAATATTACTCATATGCTCGTAACAAAAGAAGCATTCGGAAAAATCAAGCGGCTGTCGATTGTTCTAGGTTATACAGAAGCTGACAATAAAAAGTTTATATTTAATTATAAAATTTACGTCTTCGCATTTTTTTTCTGCATCATCACAAATAAGTGAAAGTATTCATGTGATTGTTAATTAATAAGTGAAAAAGTTACATTCATTCCATATCGTTCAAAAGAAAAAAGAAAAAAAATGAGTAGAAGAAGAGCCCACGATGATGACGATGGATATGGTATATGCATTATTTTTTTTCTATTTATATTTTTTATTATTTCTTAATTAAAAAATATTCACTCTCTTTCAATTTTCATCATTTTTTTCTCATTTATTATTTCAATGAACATGAAAATTTATCTCTTAGAAAAAGATAAACTTTGAAATTGGTATTTCTGAAATTTTCACAATCTTCACAATATTAGAAATAAATAACAATTTATTAATAATATATAAAAATTGTAAAAAAATTAGAATTTTAAAATTAAGTGAATTTTATTTTTATAGTAAGATTAATAACAATAAATCGAAGAAAAAAACAAAACATAACCTCTAAAATGAATTTCTGCAAATTCTGAACGTTTAAATGAATGAAAAATTTGTTTACTACGTCTTTAAGTTAAAATTTTAGCTATAAAATATTTGTTTTTATTACTAAAAAATAAATTAATAGTTTAATTAATGTTTAAGGGGAGGATTTAGGTAAATTTTTTACCATAATTTACGTTGTTAATTTGCCCTAATTTCTTTTTATCATTAATTTGAATCTAGAATTTGTGAATTGATAACAAAAATTTTTTTTTTTGCAAATTTCAGACAATTTAATTTTTTGGGTATTTTTAAAGGCTGTTTCTATTTCGCCCGCTCGGGCGAACTAATTCATTTCTGTTATTTCGCCCGTCGCGGGCGAAATGAATGTGTTTTAGAAGACGGGCAAAATAAGAAAAATAGATTATTTCGCCCGTTCAAGATAAAATCGAGTATCTGGAAGACGGGCGAGTATATTATTTCGTCCGTGAAATGTTTAAACAAAAACGGGCGAAATAATCAAAATACAATATTTAGCCCGCTAGGTATAAACAGCTGTTGTATATTTCAATTTACAAACTAAAATTATTTTAACTTTTATTTTGCAATTTATGTTAAATATCATATATTTGATAAACAAATTTGACGGTCTCATTTATTTTTTGTGTTTCGATAAAAAAAAGGGTTTTTCTGATTTCTTTCTCAGCAGAATCATGGTTTTATATATCAATGTGAGATTATACTCCGTATAGTATATTCTTTAAATATTGAAAACGACGGTGCGTTGTTTGAAAATCTATTTGGTATCGAAAGTAGTTCATATGACATTCTTTATTTTGATTGTCTTCAATTTTATTTACTCGTTGAATTTAGAGATGCAAATATACAAAAATTTCAGAAATAGTCGATTTTTGAATTCTTATTTAAATTACAAAATTAAAATCCACAATTTTTATTACCAAAGTTTAATAAACAAAATTAAAAAAAAATTTTTTTTCATTTTTCATGAAAAAAATTTTTTAAAATGATTTTTTCAATTTTTAAGAAAAATTTTTTTGCAATTTTTTCGTCAACAATTTTTAAAAGAAAAATTTATAAAAAATATTAAAAAATATTATTAATTATTTGAAAAAATATTAATATTTTTAAATCGATGACGATCAATTTTAATTGTTTTCGACTTCAACATCGTAATTTTAATTAGTTAAATTTAATAATTATAATTTATAATTTTAATATTAGATTAATTTTTTTATAATTTTAATTAAATTTATTTACCATTACTATAAAATATTAAATTTTTTTAATTATTTAATAAGAGTAATTAATACCTCTATAAATATATTAATTTTTTTTCCAATACAATTTCTTAGACAAAATAATTATTATTCTTTAAAGTCACGTCTCAAAAACGTGTAAAATAAATATTTGATAAATCTTCAAGTTAATAATTACAAACAAATTTTATGTTACAAATATTCTCAAAACTTTAATTAATAAAATTTTTTGAAAAAAAATAGAAAATAATTAAGTATTAATTTTAAGAATTTAAAGAATTTTTAAGAACTTTTTTTTTTATTTAAATTTCTTCTATTTTATTAAACCAAATACTCCAAAAGATATAAATAAATAATATTAGACCTATACTCAGACGTCTTTTTTCTATCCATCTTATTTGTTATATTTAAAAAAAGTAAAATTATTTTTTCTCATTATCTAAAAAACAGCTGTCTATACTTAACGGACGAAATAATATACTCGCCCGTCTTCCAGATACTCGATTTTATCTTGAACGGGCGAAATAATCTATTTTTCTTATTTTGCCCGTCTTCTAAAACACATTCATTTCGACGGGCGAAATAGCCAGTTCACACAGTCGTATCTATTTCGCCCGCGACGGGCGAAATAACAGAAATGAATTAGTTCGCCCGCGACGGGCGAAATAGCCACTCCGATTTTTAAACGAGAATTTTTTTTTTTTTAATGAATTTTCGAAAAACTATAATTTATTATAGAATAACTATAATTTATAAACAATTGAAATTTCGGAAAATTATAATAAAATTAGGCCTCGGATTATACGACTTTTTTCTACTTTTTTTCAAAAATACGACTTTTTTCGACTTCTTTTAATAAAATGCGACTTTTTCGACTTTTTTTTCAACTTTAAAAAAAAAATTTTTAACAAATTTCTTTTTATTTAACAAATTTTTAACTAAAATTCTTCACTAAATTAATTATTTTATTAAATTTTTAATGAAATTCATCACAAATTCAAATTATCTTAAACTTGTTTTCAATTAAAATTTTTATAAAATTTAATAATTGTTTTAAATTTTTTAAAAATTAGCAAATAAAATTACAAAAAATTTTTAGTTCAAAATCACTTGTAATTTTTAATTATTGGCAAAAATTTCAATTATTTTTTTATGATTTTTATAATATTCTTCGAAAATTTAATTATCTGAAAGCATTTTTTAATTTAAAACTTTTGGAATTTAATTTTTTTTATATGATTTCTAAAAAATTCTTCATCAACAGAAATCACTAAAATTTCTCTTATTATAATAATTATTGTCTGAAATTTAATACAATCTTTAGAAATTCAATTATTTTCAAAAATTTCAATTTAAAATCATCTAAAATTTAATTATTTCTAAAATTTTTCATCTAAAATTTTTTGAAATTTAATAATTTTAATTAGAACTCTCTTGAAATTCAATTATTTTTAATGATTTTTATAATATTCTTCGAAAATTCAACTATCTAAAACCATTTTTCATTTAAAAAGTTTTCACATTATTGTATTTTTATCTGCAATTTCTAATAATTTTTTTAGTAATAGAAATCATCAAAAATTTTAAATTAAAAATCACTTGAAGTTCAATTAATTTTTAAAAATCAAAATAATTGTAACTCTTTGAAATCTAAAATTATTTTATAAATTTTTTTTAGTTCTGTAAAATTTAATTTTTTCTGAAAATTAACAAAATCTTTTGAAATTTAATTATTTCTAAAAATTTTAACTTTAACTCTTCCAAAATTATTATTTTAAAAAAAATTTTTATTTAAAAATCTGTAAAACTTGATTAAATATTGCCTGAAATTTTTTTGACCATCAAAACTAAAAACTATGACAAAATTTTTAATTCCAATAAATTGCTTAAATCAAACTTCAAAGAAATATAAAAATGAAACTTTAAGAATTTTTTTAAAAAATTTGTCCTACTTAAATAAAATTTTGAAAATTTGTCTTACAATTAGTTCGATTCTGAAATATTCGAAATAAATTTTCTTGATAATATTCATTATAGAATTATTCTCATTACAGAATTAATAAAATGAATTTAATATCTAATAACATTATTTATTTAAAGTAAAATATTTATTAACCAATTAAATTTTGTTAAAATAAAAAAATGGACTTTTTCGACTTTTTTTTGTGCCTTAAAGTCGATCCGAGATCTGAACAATAACTTCTATAAATCTTCAAATTTGTCTAAACACAAAGCTGAAGTATGCAACATTTATGATAAAGGATTTTTAAAGAAAAAAATTTTTAAAATGAAAAATTCTATAATTTTTTGCCTAAAAAATATTTCTTCTAATTTTCATTAATCAACAAATTATAAAAAAAAAATATTTTTTAGGCGAAAAATTATAGAATTTTTCATTTTAAAAAATTATTTCTTTAAAAATCGTTTATCATAAACGTTAATATTATTACACTTCGTGGCAAAACTGCAATTTGTATTTTTTATTTTCTGTTTTGAATATAGAAAAAAAAACAGTAAATTTCATGAAAAAAATTCAACTTTTCAAAAAATATTGTCACAGTTCACAAAATTTAGACTCATTAATTATTTAATTAAATTATTAATTAATTAATAAATAAATAATAAAATTAATGTAAAATAATTTAAAATTATAAATTTTTATTATTTTTATTTAAAATGTAAAAAAAATACTCTTTTAACACAATATAATATATAAAATAGCAAGTAATACTATAATTATTATTAATAATAATATATTTCAATAAGCCTATTCAAGTTTTTTTTTTGTAAAATTTTTTGCTAACATAGATAAAAAATGAATTTTTAAATAAAAATATTTTTCATTGCATTAGTAATTAACAAAACAAAATTTCATTCACTTAAACGTTTAGAATTTCAGGTAAATTTGAAACATTTTTTAAAGAAAAAAAATATAATTTACAGAACGCGTTTACAAGAAACGAAGACGAGTATCGGAGAATCAAGAGATTGAAGATCGTCTCGAATCACTTATTTTGCGTGTCGGTGAAAAATCGACATCATCACTTGAAAGTAATTTAGAAGGATTGGCATCAGTATTGGAAGCTGATTTAGGTTTATTTCGTAGTAAAATTCTACGAATATTAACTGATTGTGCAATTAAAATGCCAGAAAAATGTACAATATACACAACATTGGTGGGTTTATTGAATGCAAAAAATTTCAATTTTGGCGGTGAATTTGTTGATTATATGGTGAAAAATTTTAAGGAAGCATTAAAAATTGGCAAATGGGATGTAGCAAGATATTCACTTCGTTTTTTGGCCGATTTAGTTAATTGTCATGTATTGTCGTGTGGTTCATTAATGCAATTATTTGATAGTATGTTGGACGCTGCTAATGAGGATAGTGTACCACAGGTGAGACGCGATTGGTATGTTTTTGCTGTATTATCAACATTGCCATGGGTTGGACGTGAGCTTTATGAAAAAAAAGAACAGGAATTAGATCATCTTATGGTGACAATTGAAGTGTTTCTCAATAAACGCAGTAAGAAACATCAACCGGCATTAAGAATATGGTCAAGTGATACACCACATCCACAGGAGGAATATTTAGATTGTTTATGGGCGCAAGTGAGAAAATTACGACAAGATAATTGGGCGGAGAAACATATTCCCAGGCCTTATCTTGCGTTTGATTCAATTTTATGTGAAGCGCTTCAACATAATTTACCAACACTTATACCGCCACCGCATCATGAATCATATGTTTATCCATTGCCAAATGTTGTTTTTCGTATGTTTGACTATACCGATTGTCCCGCTGAGGGTCCACTATTGCCCGGTAGTCATGCAATTGAGAGATTTTTAATTGAAGAACATTTACGGCAAATAATTGATAATTATTTTTTTGAACGTAAAGATTGTGCATCACATTTATTGAATTTCCCCTATAAATTGAAAATACCACTCGACTATTGTATTGTTGAAGTGATGTTTGGTGAATTATTTCGATTGCCAACGCCAAAACATTTGGAAATTGCATATGGTTCGATTTTAATAGAACTTTGTAAATTGCAACCATCAACAATGCCACAGGTATTGGCGCAAGCGACGGAAATTTTATTTCGACGTATTGACAGTATGGCTGCAACGGCATTCGATCGTTTTGTTTGGTGGTTTGCATATCATTTAAGTAATTTTCAATTTCGTTGGTCGTGGGAGGATTGGGATTCGTGTTTACAACGTGAGACGGAACATCCACGTCCAAAATTTATACGAGAGGTTCTTCAAAAAGCATTACGGTACAATTTTTTTGTTGCTTAACATTTTTTCTTTTTTTTTCTTTTTTTTTCAAAAATCGCTGGAGTTTAGAAAATATTTTCAATTAATAATAATAATTATTATTAAAATCTTTTTCAGTTTATCGTATTATCAGAGAATTCGTGATATGATGCCGGAGTCGTATGCCAGTTTAATTCCAGAACTTCCGGAACCAATTTACAAATACTCCGCGGAAGGTGCAAGTAAGTGAATAAAAATTAAATTAATATTTATATTAAAATATTTTTTCAAGAAAAAAAAGGATTAAATAATTATTTTTTTTTTACTTTACCAGAATTCAAAAAATTGAGCGATCAGTCTTATTAAATTTTTTAGTAAGATTACTACTATAAATAAATTTCTGATTTTCAAGAACAAATCGATAATAAATGAAATTTTCGAAGAATTACAGTTTAGATTTTTTTTTTTTTTTTTTTAGAAATATTATTAAATTTCAAAATATTTAAAAATTGAAACTTTTTGTGAATTATTGCCAAGGATTTTATTTTTATTTTGGAAAAAATTTTAAAAAATAATTGAATTTTTGGAGAATTTTTAACTAAAAACATTTTTTTTTTGATAGGTAATTGAATTTTCTAAAAATTCTATTAAAATAAATATAATTGATTTTTTTTTTAAGATTTACAGTTGAAATTTGTAAAGAATTGCTAAAGATTTATTTTTTGCAAATTTCAGAAAATAATTTAATTTTTTGGTAATTTTTTGAACAAGAAAATTTTTTTCTAAATAATTGAATTTTCTGAAAAACTATAATATATTAAAATTATTAGAAATAAAATTTCATTTAGCGAAAAATTTGTGTTCAAAATTTATAAATAATTAATGTTCAAATGATTTGTATTTGAGATTTTTAAAATTAATTAAATTCATATAATTTGACTTTGAAAGTTTGGTAAATTTAAATAACTGAAGATTTTCTTTTTTTTTCAAATTTAAAAAATTAAAAAATTGAATTGCCGGAACCATCCGTAATTGAATTTTTGAAAGATTAAGATTTTCAAAATTAATTGAATTTCAGGTGATTTTGAAATTATAAGTTTGGAAATTAAAATTTTTTTATAGATTGTTTACAAATTTTAAACAAAATAATTGAATTTAAAAAAAAATTTATTTAATAATTATTTTTTTTAAATTGAATTTCTCGAAGAATTTTAGTTAAAATTTTATTTTTTTTTAATATTAAAATTTTTTAAGCCATTGATAATTTTGAAAATAATAGCTTATATAAATACTTTATACAAATTTTTGATAAAATATAATTTTCATTCTTAATAATAATGAATATTTTCAAGAGTTACAATAAATGTTTTTAATAATAATAATAATAATAATAATTAAATTTTTGAAAAAATTTAAAGTTTAAAAATTTGATAATTTAATACATTCTCTGAAAATTAAAAATTAATGTGTTGAAAGTTGTAAGTTGTAAATTTAATTTGTAATTCTAATTATATATAAATATGAAAATTGTTCAAATTATTAAATTATTGGAAAAGTTCATTAAAATTTTTGAAAATTATAAAATTTTGTGGAAGAATTTTAGTTAAAATATTTTCTCTAAAATAACATAATAATGTGAATATAATGGAAATAATTGAATTTTGGAAAGATTTACAAAAGTTTTTACATGTATTTTAATTTCAAAAGATTTTAGAATTAATTTTAATATTTTACTTTTTTTTTTTTTTTGCTTTTTAAGGCGCTCTACCTGGAACGACAACTGCTCACGAGCTTGTGATGTCAATAAGAAGAAAATGCACTCCAGAGGAAGTTTTAACTGTTCTCAATACTCTGCCAGGAACAGGAGACGAAGAAACGTTCAATCCCTTGAAAATTGATGTTTTCGTTCAAACTTTACTCAATCTTGGATCGAAAAGTTTCAGTCACAGCTTCGCGGCAATTGGCAAATTTCACTATGTGTTCAAGGTAAATTTTTATTTTTATTTATTGGATTTTATTTTTTTCTTTAATTTTATTACTATATGATTTTAATAAATTTTTTTTTTTTATTAATTAATTTAGTTGATTATTATTAATGTGGTTTTTATTATAATTTAGACTGAAAATAAAATTTGATTGTAAATTAATTAATTCTTTTTATTACATATTTTTACCTAAATATTTTTTGTATGTAAAATAATTTGTTTTTAATTTTTTGAGTTTTTTTTTAATTGTTCTCTTTTAAACTAAAATTAAATTTAACGAATTAAAAAAAAATAGCCTCTGAAATTAAAATAATTTGCTTTTTTTTTGTCGTTTTTTAAGGTTCTCGCCGAAACGGAAGAAGCTCAAATTTGTATCCTAAGAAATATGTTCGCTCTCTGGAAAAATCATGCTCAAATGATGGTGGTATTGACTGACAAATTATTGAAAACTGGCATCATTGAATGCAGTGCCATCGCAAATTGGATATTTTCTAAAGAAATGTCTTCAGAATTTACAAAGTCAGTAAAAATTAAATAATAATAATAAAAAAATATTAATTAACAATAAATTTGAATGTAAAATTCTTTTTTCTTTTTTTTGCAGACTTTATATTTGGGAGGTTTTACATTTGACAATATTAAAGAAAAATAAGCATGTTATTAAATTGACAAAAGAATTAACTGAGACACGTGAAAAATTACGAAGGGCCGAAAGTAGATCTGGATCATCATCAGAGGACGATGAGAACAAAGAGAAAAGTGGTGAGAGACCATCGGAAGATGTTGTTGAACGTATGGAGGAAAAACTTGAAGCAGCGCAAGCTGATCAAAAAAATTTATTCCTCATTATATTCCAACGTTTTATAATGATTCTTTCGGAGCATTTAGTGCGTTGCGATACTGATGGCGTTGATTACAATACACATTGGTATCGTTGGACTGTTGGACGTCTTCAACAAGTATTTTTACTGGTAAGTTTAATTTAATTAAAATTTCAATAGATTAATTAAAAAATTTTTTTTTTTTATATTATCAGTCTTTTATATAATATTTAATTAAAATGCTGGAAAATAAAAATTTATTCTTTTGGCATAAAAAAAAAAAATTTACAAACTTGTCACAATTTTAAATTATGTAAATTTTGTAAATTGAATTTTTTTTTCAGCATCATGAACAAGTTCAAAAATACTCGTCAACATTGGAAACATTGCTTTTCACATCAGATCTCGATCCACATATACTTGATGTTTTCCATCAATTTGTCTCGCTTCGTGCGTGAATAATTTGCAAATTTTCACGACCAATATATATATATACATATATATATAAACAAAGCAAGTATCGAATTATAATTTCGTTACTTTGTGACATGATTAATTTTGACTCGTTTTAAAATCCATAATTATACTTATAAAAATCAAAGTGATTATTCACTTTATATTTCTTAACTTAATTCATAATCGAGCATAGATTATTTATTATTTTTTTTCCTCAGCTATAAATAAAATTAAACTTAACTTTAATTTTAATATAAATTAAAAATTTGGGAAAAAAATGTAAGGTAATTTACATAATTTTTTTTTTTTTTTTTTTTTTTTTTTTTTTTTTTTTTTTTATTAAGGTTCATAAGGTAAAAATTGATTCTTATTAGAGATTCTTTTTTTTTGGTTTAAGAAATTTTTTCTTACTCATTGTCAATGTTGCCTTAAAAATGTAATAAGATTTTGAGTACATGTAGGTTACGATGTAAGATGATTTAGGTAACTAATTTACCTTATTAACGAAAGCTATATTAGTTTAAAACAAAATTATATATCATTCAATTTTGCTGCTTTGTGATTTGTATAATCATAATTATTTTTTTTTTCTTACTTCATCTGTACATATTTATTCTTATGTGCATATGTGTATATATAAATATTTCTTTGTGCATAAAATCTTCCTAAATTTGAAAAATCTATTTTCTTTTTTAAATTAAGAATATGACAAAAAAAAAGAAAACAAAAAAAATTACGAATCGACTTCTCGTAGCGAAAGTTCCGGTGGCATTGTAAAAAAATTTGATTTTCGAAATGGTTGATTGTAGTTACAAATTGTTGAATGCAGTTTTAAATAACCCTTTTCCATTTGTTCCTTATATAATGAATTTGCAACGCCTCCGTATAATGGATATTTCAGTTGTATCTATTTTTTTTCAATATCAATTTATTTATAATTACTAAAATTGTTTTACGAATAATTTTAATATTTCAAATTTTGATATCTTAATTTTTTTTGTTCTGATTTTTCACTAATTTTCAAAAAAAATTAAATAATTCATCTTTTTAATTTAGACATTAAAAAACGAGACTTACATTAACAATATAATGATCATTTTCCATAAATGGCTTGAAATCAGAATTGCAAAAACTTTCAATATATTCCGTGGAAATTAAATCAGGTAATGGTAAATCGGCTAATTCCTCTTCTTGAATTTCTTTAGCAGCTTGCAGTTGAAAATATTTTTTCAATAATTCTCTTCGTTTGCCTATAAAATAGAAATTGATTGAAAAATGAAAAAATCAAAAAATCAAATATTATAATAGAAAGAAATTACCAATTTTTTCGCCAGTATTTTTTATTAATGGAAAAGAATTTTTTGTCTCACTTTGCCAATTTGTTGTATGACAATAATTATCATCGAAATTCAAAGGACTTTTTCTTTGGAATTCACAATTTTGATTATTTGACGATTCCTTTTTATTTGCCATTAAAATAATTGTTAATTTTACTAAAATATAGAACAAAAAAAATTGATAATATGTAATGGAAATATTTACTTATAAATGGATAATTAAGCAAATTTTTTTGAAAAACAAAAGAAAACAAAATAAAAATGAAAAAATGAAATTAAAACAAAATTCAACAAATTAATATAAAAAATTATCAATCTTTTTTTTATATCTGACAAAAAAATAAAAAAGAATTCTGAATTAATATTCAAAAATTTATTAAAGATTGTATTAAAAATGATTTATTATAATTTATTATTAAATATTAAAGATTATTAATGAAAATTTATTAAAATTATTAAAAGTAGTTTTTTCAGTGAAAATTTTTAGATAAAAATTAATAAATAATTTAATTTTTGAAAGAATTATAGTTTAGATTTTTAAAAAATATGATTAAATTTCGAGACATTTAAAAATTGAAACGTTTGGAATTAAATTTTGAAAATATTTAATTTATAAAAACAAAATTGAAAAAAAAAATAATTCAAAAAATTATAAATGTGACACGCTCTGAAGAAAGGGACCTTAGAAGAAAACGAATTATAGATTATGTTTACGGTAGTTTTACCTTGATTAAAAATTTATTTTTATTTAAGTAAAATTTAATTCAGTTTTTATTAAACATTTTTAGATATAATGAAGACTTAATATAAATAATTTATGTTGAGAGTTGATCCTCTTTGTGTATTTTTATTTCAAATTTTCAAAACATAATCTATAATTTTTTGCTTCTAAGGTCCCTTTTTTCAGGGCGCGTCACAAATAATTTTGCTTTTTTTTAAACTAACAAAAATAAAATTATCAAAAATAATTCATTTAATAAAAAAAATTTATATAAAAATTCATAAATAATTGAATTTTTGAAAAATTTACAGTTTAGATATATTTAAGAAATATAATAATTGAATTTCAAGAGATTTAAAAATTGAATTCTTTTGTAAATTTGAATTGTTAAAAATTCTTTTTGCAAATTTCAGACAATAATTGAAGTTTTTGGCGAATTTTTAAATTGAAAAAAAATTTGTTAAACAATTGAATTTTCAAAAAACTTTAAAATTATTAAAAAAAAAACTTAAAAAAAAAATAATAATTAATTAATAGAGGAGTAAATTTTAAAAATCTGATAAATCCATTTTTGAAGAAAATGATAATAATAATAGTTAATTAATAATAATTTAAAAATAATTGATTTTCAATCGATTTGAAATTAAAATTTTGGTAAATTAGAATTACTGAAGCTTCTTTTTTTTTTGCAAAATTCTCTTTATTTGCCATTATAATAATTATTAATTTACCAAAAAAACAAAAATAAAAACTACAATAACAGAATATATATTAAAAAATATAGAAAAATTGATTGATTAAGAAAATTGATTTAAAAACAAAAGGAGAAATATAAAAATTCCAGATATAAATTAATTTTCTTAACTGACAAAAAAAAAAAAAAAAACAAGAATCCTGAAAGAAATAATTTTTTAATTACTGACAAAATTTGAATGAAACTGATTATAACCAATTTATTTAATTCTTATTACAAAACGTTAAACATGTAAAAGAACTATGGCACGATAAGTTTGTTTGTTTTTTTTTTTTCTTTAAAAATGTAAAATATGCGCCCATAAAATAAATGATAGAACTTGCGCGAATTGACTTACATATTATTATTTATGTAAATTGTATTTATGACGAAAAGCCGTATGAGATTAAGCTGGATACTAAATATGATGATCAATTATATTTTATAATAGATTGATATAACTGTTGTCTCTATGGAAACCAAACAGAAACGTTCTTACAAATATTCGCTTAACTATATAATTTTTTTTTTGTTTCTTTTTGTTTTGAACGCAAGATATTCGTAATATCTTTTACTTTAACTACAAAAAAAAAAAACAAGTGCATTTGGTAAAATTGCAAATAAAAATTTTTTTTTTCCATTCTTTTTTTATTCTTATTTTTTAAATATTTTATTTTCAATATATAGGAAGACTAAAATTCTCATAAAAAATAATTCTCTTAAAATAATATTTCGTTTACAAAAAAAAAAAAAACAAAACAACAAATATATATATTTTTTCTAAAAGACTAAATATTATAAGGAACACGTGAAGCAAATTTTACCAAACGCATTTGTAAAATACTACAATATATTTATATAATTCAATCTCCAACACTCGACGATTAACTGCACGAAGGTCACTTTCGAATCACGAAAAAAGGCAAAACATTTGTTTAGTTTCTTTTTTTTTTTTTTTTTTTTTTTTTTCTTTAAATTTGTTTTGCGCCATTAAAAATTTGTGCAGAGGAGTTTTACATTTGAGTCATTTTTTATAAGATTAGAAAATGACCTCTTTTTTTTTTCATTTTGTGCACCGATTTTTTTTTAAAGGTTTATCGATGCACTGAAATATTATTTAATTAATTAATAAACGAGGAACTATGTGGCGAAAGCCCAAAAAGTTGAATTTCAAGAGTTGCAATGTATACCTACTGAAAAAACACTTAGCACTAGGTACACTACACACAATTAAAATACGCTTTCCAAATTTTGGTACATTCATTATTTCTTTCTTCTCAAAAAAAAAAAAAAAATTGTCACGAGACATTTTGGATTTTATATTCTGTTATTTTTTTTTTATTTTTTGTATTTTTCTTTTTTTTTTAAGGAAGTTTTGTCCATTTACGTAATTTCGAGGATGGACAGTCAAAAAGAATAGTTCAATTAATTTTATACTAAAAAATTGTTAAACAATTTTTCAGAAAAAGTGTCAAAAATTTTAAATTTTAGAATTTTGGACATTAAAAAATTGCATTTTTGATAATTATTTAAAAATTTCTAATGTAATTTAAAAAATTGCATCTTATTTTCGGATTTAAAAATAAAATTCTAAATTCAGAATTAAGACTTTCGTTTTAAAATCCTTTGATAATATTGAAAATATTCATTAAAAACTCGTTTAAATATTTTTCGTGTTACAAATCGTTTTCTTTTTTTTTCAATTCGATATTACGTCAATGGGTCAAACATCCTTAAGGCCACGTGACATATTACAACGTTATCGCTCTCAGAACATTAAAAACAATATAAAAAAAAAACAACTCTCAAACCTATTTTTCAAAAATAGTTGAAACTAAATTTTCTAAAAACAAAAAAAAAAAATCCAAATTAAATTACATTTTCTTCTATTATAAATCATTCAAAATTTTATAAATTTAATTAAATAATTTAATAAAATGTAATGTGTAAATAAATTTTAAAAAAAGCTAATTATTTGTTTAAAAATAAAAATTATTTCTTATTTAAAATAATTTCAAATTTAATTAAAATTGGATGTAGATTTCTTTTTCTTATATTTCAAATTTTTTTTTTTAACCAATTTAAAAATGAAATTAAGAATTTTTAATTATTATGAATTGTGATTTGATTATTAATGTGTCACTATAAAAAAATCGGTCGGACAATCAAAAATCAAAGTTAGATCAACTTCATAATTTATTTTTTTTTATTTTTTAAAACAGTTTTTAATTAAAAAAAGTGTTTCAGAGGAAATTGTTCACAATTTGTTATTTTTTAATAATTTTTTTTTTTTAAATAAATATTGTTTTTGAATAATAAAAAATTAATAGAGAAAGAAAAAATTTGAAAATTATTCTAAAATTTAATTTTAGATTTATAAATTATTATTGATTTTTAATTGCTATTTTTTCCAAATATTTCTTAAATAATTTATCAAGTTTTAATATAATTATTAATTTTTTTTAATATAATTTAAAAGTATTTTAAAAAAACTAAATTGTCTCCACACATTATTTAATTAAAAATTGTATGTTTCTGTTTTTTTTGTTCTTTTTCAAATTTAATAATACAAAAATATTAACTTTTGTTCCGATTGTTTGTCCGATTTTTTCTTGAAAAGAAAACCTTCCCCCCCCCCTTCACTCTTAATATTATTGTAACGAATCACATATAACTTTTTCTCAAAATTGTTTATTTTTAAAAAAACAAAATTTTTTGTAAAGTCCAAAAAAATACAAAAATTCAAAAAAAGATGTGATAATAAATAAATTAATTAAAAAATAAATGGATATTTCCATTGGAAATATTAATTAAATCTGAACGAATTTAAATAAATCTTTTTTTTCTAAATCACGTAAATTATATTTAAAAAAAAAAATGGACAAGAAACAAATATTTTGTACTGTCAAAAGAAAATAAATTCTATTTTATTCTATATTTTAAAAAAAAAATTGAGAAAAAGTATGATTTGTTCGAATTTTAGGGGTTGAGGGAAGTTTTTCCTTATTTTCAAAAATTCAATAGGATCAATCCATTGAAAATTATTTGAGAATAATTGGTGATATATTTAAAAAGAAAATTTAGTTTTTTTAAGCGAAACTCGACGAATTTCTAAGTTCATTGGCTCAGTTTGGTTTTTAAATTAGTTTCGCTTAAAAAAAAAACTAAATTTTGTTTAGAAAAAATATATCAACAATTATTCTCAAATAATTTTCACTGCATTGATCCAATATTAATATAAAAAAGAGAGTGAAAAATGTAAACAACAAGCTTTGGGATATTTTCTTCCAGGATTTGATTTCGCATGTTTATATATATATATGCATATATAATATATATATATAATATAAAAAAAGGAAATTTCGTTAGTGCTTGTTGAGCTTTGATCGGCGATAATAATTATTATTAATATTCGACAGATAGCAACGAGAGGTAGTTTGTCCAAAAATTTGGAATTAGCAATCATCTAATTTTTAAATGCAATAACATTAATATTTTTTTTTTTTTTTTTTTGTGTGTTTTGAGACTCGCATCGATCAAAATTCTTTCTTTTCGTTTAAATATCTCTTTTTTTTCTCGCTTTATATTTTTATATATAATAGATAAATATTTATGATTCAATCACTCACAATTACAAATATGCGTTTATAAATACGGCCACGTTGCTAGGTACTAAAAATGTATAGGGGAAAATTGGATTTTTTTTTTGTTTTTCATTTTTCTTTCTTTTCTTTTCTTTTTTTATCCCAACTGCTCCTAGTACTATATAATATTACTGTCAATAGCGTCAATTATATCATTACAATCATTAACATCAAATGTATCATCATTTTCATTATCATTTGTGACAATTTCATTTTCATTTATTGCATTTTCGCTATTACTACTTGTAGGCTCTTGTTTTATTGAAAAATCTTTTATGAAATTTTGATTTTGATTATTAATATTCAATAAGTCATTTGATAAAATAATTTTTTCCTCTTTATTTCGTTCGGGTAAAAATGATGATTTTAATTCTGTTTTTATTTCTGTTTTTGGTAGGAATGATGATGATGTTGTTGTTGGTTTTCTTTCTTTTTTCACTGGTTTTGGCATTTCTCTTTCGTACATAAATGTCTTTCGCTTTCGTTTAACTGGCGTACATACTTTTTTATAAAGAATTTTCATTTCTTTTATTAAATTACTTGGTATCGTCCAATCCATTTCTGGTGAATCAGAATCAGGATTTCTCGTTGAATCTAAATCAACTTCATATTCAGGAATTTCAAGACCCAATGTTTTCATTACATTTGTCATTATGTCATCGATTTTACCATTTATTATTAAATCAGCTTTTTTATCCTGAAAAAATTTTTTAAAATAGATTAAATTAATTTTTGTTGTTTAGTAATTTTTTTTGTAAAATTTTAGATCTTTTGGAGTAAAAAAAAAGTAACAAATAAAAAAAGTTCCATTACATTCTAAAAAAAAAAAAATGGCAAATTTTTTCTTTTTATCTTAACGAGGGTAATTAGATAGTGAAAAAAGAAACAATTTACGTGTTTTGTTGGCTGTAGATTGCAAATAACAAGACGACCGCCGTATTTTTTTGTGTATAAAGGTAAATTTCCACTGGGTATTATTTGTAGAGTCGTTCCCAAACATATGCTCAAATCGGCAACACTGTCAAACAAAAATTTGGCAAATTTATACATTTTTTTTTTTGAAAATTTGTTATTTTAATATATTTATTAATTATTATTTAATTAATATTTTGTGAATTCAATTTTTTTAAACTAAAAAATATACGTTAATTATTTTTTTCATTTTTTTTTTTGCCAGTTAATGAATTTGTTAAAAATTAAAAAATCTATTCATACGTTAACAATAATTGAATTAAAGTATTAAAAAATATTAATTAATTTAAAAAATTATATTCCTAAATTTATTTATTCAAAAATACAATTAAAATAATTATAAACGTCTATTAAATCGTTTTTAAAAATGTCTTCTTTTTTTTCGTAATTTTAATCATTTTTATTCTCAATTATTTTCTAAATTAAATTATTATTATTAAAAAATAAGGGATTTTTCATTTGAAAAGTAATTTTTAAACACTCTTTAGGTAAAAAAAAAACAAAACAATTTTCAACCTATTTCACCTTTTTGGAAGAATTAAAATCAAATAATGAAAATAAAAATATTAATCAGGATTGTCATAAAAATTTTATTGTATTTCTCCCTGACTTTTTTCTGATTTTGCAAAATTTTTTTTTTTTTTTTTTTCCCTTAATCCTAATGAAAATATTTCAAGAGGTTTTCAATTATAAAAAATAAAGACAATAATTTTTAGAAGCAAAAGTTATACAATTAAAATTTTAAATAATTGATTTTCATATTAAATCAACAATAGTGTGAAATAATTTTACAAAAATTCTTTTTTAAATTTTCCAAATTTGTGATAAAAACAAAATTTAAATTTTTTTGTTATATATTCTTAATTTTGAAAAAAAAATTTAAATACTGCATTTACATTCAATTTATCGTTAAAAAACAAATTAATTTCAAAATAATATTCCAATTTGCCCTTCAAAAATGTTTTTTTTTTTTTTTCAAAAATCAGAAAAAAATCCTGAAAAATTAAAAACATCTACCTGGCATGAAGATCAGAAAGTGTAAGATCGTCATTGGGTAAATTGTGTTCCCAATCGAGTATTGTGTCGTGCATTTTTCCACGACAAGGACGGCCTCCCGTTTGACTTGATCTGCAGACCGTTTCGAGACATTTTTTGCCAACACTTTTTGTTGAACAGTTACGGATGAATTGCCTGTGCAATAAAATGGCCAATGAATTATATAGCCTGTTTCTCTCTTTCTCTCTCTCACCAAAAACTTACATAACTATATAGAATTTTATTCTACGTGTAAAAAAAAAAAAGAAAAAAACACTCGTACCTTCCACATTTGTCGCATTGTTCAACAAACATATTTCCATGTAATTCCGCAATATATTGCCTTCCAACTCCTGATTTTAGATGTAATCCATCTATATTCTGACTTACTATGTACTTAATTTTATCTGCAAAGAAAATATTTTTTTTGTGAAATTTAATCTTTCCTTTTGTCGTGCAAAAAAAAAAAAAAATTTGATTTATTTTCAAAGAGAAAATTGTTTCATTTAATCAAATCTTTTATTTATTAGCGAATTTCAATTTTTTTTATTTAAAATTCTTTTTTGCAAAAATTTAATTTAATTTAATAAACCCGTGTACAATTTAAAATAAAAATAAAAAATAAAATAATAATTTGATTTGCATATTTTAAGATTCTTTTTTGTAAAAATTAAATAAATTTCATTTAATTTTTCATATTTTAAGATTCTTTTTTGTAAAAATTAAATTTCAAAGAGAAAATTCTTTCATTTATTCAAATTTTTTATTTATTAGCGAATTTCAATTTTTTTTATTTAAAATTCTTTTTTGCAAAAATTTAATTTAATTTAATAAACTTGTGTACAATTTAAAATAAAAATAAAAAATAATAATAATTTGATTTGCATATTTAAGATTATTTTTTGTAAAAATTAAATAAATTTTATTTAATAATAATAATTTAATTTTGCTATTATTTATGTGGTTCCAATTTTATTAATAAATGAAAGTAATTTTATTTCAAAAAACAATAAATTAGACCTAAAAACTTTCATTTATTTCAAGGGTTCTTTTAAAACCCGTGTATTTAAATAAATAAATAAATAAATTTATTAAATAAATTTTTTTTAAAATTTTCGATTAATTTTTCTTTTTAATGAATTATGAATGAAATTAAATTTTTTGCCAAAAAAAAAAAAATTCAAAAATACGCAAAAATAAAAAAAACAGAAATTTACTGTTGTCGATTAATTTCTTAATAGCCATGTGAGCTTTTGTTGGAATCGCATCATCGAAAGCAACACTCATCGATGGTTTTTCGCCAATTTTTTCCAATGTCCAAACTCCATTTGGTCCCCTAAAAAAAATATTTCATAAATATTTTTCTCATTTTCAAAACGAAAGATAATTTAAGAGAAAAAAAAAATAAACGTATTGTAATTCGTAGGAAAAAAAAAATATTTTTTTAATTTTATATAAAAATATTTATTATCATGAAAATAAAATTTTCAAACTAATTTCAATATAATTCTAAAAACTTTTGAATTGTCACATTTTAATTTCTCTTCTATATGAAAAAAAAAAAAAAAAAAATGATTTTTGACAAAAAAAAAAAAATTCTTTTTTTTTCACACCTAAAATCAGGGATTCCAGCAGCTGTACTAATGCCAGCTCCTGTGTGAACGACAACATGCCGAGCACCTTTAATCCAATCAGCAAGAAGATCACACTTAAGTCGAAGTGTTTCTTGAGTGTCGTATTTCTGCAAAAAAAAAAAAAAAAAAAAATCGAAAAATAAAAAAAAAACCAAACAACAACAAAAACAATTATTCCCTCATATATTTATTATCATAACATTGAAAACAAATGAATTTTTCTTCATTTATTTTCATTAATTTAAATTTGCAAACATCTAAACAAAAAAAGAGAGAGAATAAAAAAAAAATGATCAAAATTCTACCTCCTCTAAGCCTAATACGCCTTTGTTCTCGTAGGGCGACAAGCCATCCGCATAAGTACATGACATTTCACTCAAAGTTTTACCCGAGTTTTCCCCAGGGCGCGATATCAGCGATATTATTTGAATTCACTTTATGCCCCGCACAGATATGGTTACTTTTATTATTTTTCAAATTATAATATCAAAATTAAAAACATTAAAGCAATTAAAATAGAAATTAAAAAACACTTATTTAAAGAGAACAACAAATTACAAACATTTATTGTTAGAACAAAATGAATTTGAAAATATAAGCGCATAAACAATCAAAAGATAAACACTGTGTAGTTTGTTTTTTATTAATTTCTTTCCTTTCCGAGGGGAGATTAACGAGCCAACAGCGGCTTTAGTTGTTAGCGTCTACGCACGCGTTTCAAAGCGGCTTGTAGAGTGGTATTCTGCTTTTACTCCGCTCATAAAATTGACAAATATATATATAATAATAATCAACGATGAAATCATATACCATTTGGTAAATAATGTTAACAACAATGGGGTTTAATGACCCCTTTCAATACAATGAAATAATTACAATTTATCGATTTATATTCATTAATTCAAATAATTAACAAGAAAAAGTAATAAATATACATCATTTGTTTAGTATACTATTAATTAAATGCTTTTTTAAATACATTATCATTGTTTTATTATCAAATCCATTGTGTATTTTGAGGTTAGAGTGTGATGACACTTTGACACATGGGGTTGTAATTCTGTCCTTATTACCTTTGGCGTCGGTGCAACCAGAAGAGGGTAAAGAAAAAATCGACAAAGTGTCATTTTTTATAGGTTATGAATGCAATAATATTTTTATTGTTATAATTAACGTGCGCAATCACACAGCATGTAAGTAGAATATTTTTCATTTTGATTTATCATTTTCAAGATGGTAATATAAATATTTATTTACATAATTTAGTGTTTATTAGAAAGTAAATTTTTAATCAATTGTAAATATATATATATATATATATATACTTGCATTTTCTCAATGGCCGGAAATTTACATATTTTTAATTATGCAATTTTTCTTCGAAAATTATAATTAATTATGTTTTTAAAAATAAAAAACTGATAATATGTTTTATTAATATAATTATTATATTATTAAATAGTTAATGATTTTGAAATTTTTATTTTATTTTTCCAATTATTTTTCGTTCAAATTATTTTATTTTTGAAATTTTAATCTTTTTAGTATTATTTAATTTTTTATATATTAAAATTTTTTTTAAATGTAATGTCGAAAATTACGATAATTATAGTGTTATTATTAAATAATTTAAATAAACAATGTGTCTCTAGTAATTATAATTATAATATTAGTAAATAGTTATAGGTTAATTATTTTTAAAACGTCTTTTTTTTATTATCGACAATTTTTTTTTTTTTTTTTTTTTTTTTTAATTACATTTTTCTAATTGTAGAAGTATTTTTTGTTTAAATTATAATTTATTTTTAAAAAATGAAAAAAAAAAATTTTATGTGTATACAAAAATTTATTAAAATGACGAAAATTGTGATCATTAATTTAGTGTTGAAATTATTATTAATTTAAATATTGTTTAGATAAACAATGACCGTTGATGGAGCAACTGGCAATGAACAAGTAATTTTTGCCACTGGTAGCTATGATCATTCAATTAAAATATGGCAAGCTCACACTGGACATTGTCTACGAACTGTTCAACACACTGAATCAGTATCCTTTTAAGAAAAATTATTTAAGCATTATTTTTTATTTAAAATTTTTTTTTTTTTAAATTTCTATTAATACTTTCTTGTGTCAGTTTTTCAGAAATGACAATTCAAAAGACAAAACGTCTAGAAATAAAACACTAACGAAGAAATAAAGGTAGCATAAATCTAATAGCAACAAATTAAAAAAAAAAACATAACAAAAAAATTTTGTACTCTTTCTCAAGACGCAGGACCTCAATAAATTCTTTTGGAAAATAATCATTAGACTTCCAGAATGCAATGAAAAAATCAAGAAGAAAAAAAACGCTGGGGTTTTTGAGAAAATTTGATTTTATTTTTTTTCGAAAAATCGCCGCCATTTTGTTAAATTTTAATATTTTTTAATTTAACATGCGGGATTTAAAAGAACGTTTAATCCAGAATTAGGAGGAAAAAGAATCATTAAATTATATGCATTTGCATAAAAGATACAATAATTTAAAAATATTTTATCGTCATTTTTTTGAAATCTGACTTTGCAATTATAAAAATTCAAATGCGCCTAACTTCGTTAAATAATTTTTTTTGGTAAAACGGCAAAACACGGGTCGTCTAAAATTGTGTGAAAAATAATATATTTTCATAGGAAACGATAACATGAGTTACAGAAACATAGCCTGTCTGAATTGAAATGGAATCGGCCTTCAAATAAAATAAATTATTCATTAATACGAATAATTTATTATTTAAAGCTAATATCCACATTTAATTTATAAAAATTTTTACGGCGTCGAATATTAAATTATCGAATTTCTATTTTAGCAAAATTGCATAAAGTTGGATTTTATATAATGCAAAATTTTCAATTTACATTTAACTAAAATTCAATTTAAAAGAATTTCTATTTAGCAGAATTCTTATAATTTCTAATAATTTTTAAAAATTTTAAATTCATATATAATTTCAATTTAATGAAATTTATGTCTATAAAAATTAACAAAAAAAGAATTAAGTAGAATTTTTCTTAAATGAAAATTCTATTAATTAAGAATTAGTTCCAAATAAAATTTTCTTTAATAAAAACTTTATTAATTAAGAATTTTGTTAAATAAAAATTCTGTTAATTGTGAATTTATTCAATGACAATTCTGTTCAGTAAATATTTTGATAAATCGAAATTTACTAAAATAACAATTCTGTTTAAAAAAAATTTTCTTTATATGCAATTTTTCTTGACATAAATTTCGTTAAATTGAAATTGTATTAATTAGTTTAATTATTTCACTTAAATATTTTATTTTTTACGAAAAATTATTTATTTGATTCAAATAAATATATATATGAAATTAGTGGATAATAGACAGGTAAATGATTTAATTGTATGAAAATAAATTTTATTTGATAAAAAATAAAATTTTTTTAGTGTAATTGAGATCTGGGAAAAGTCAGTGAAAAGTCGGGAAATTTTTTTCCTAGTAATTATTAGACACACTGTAGATTTTTGTTTTAATATCTAAGAGTTATTTCATTATTATTTTGATTAAAATTGTTGCTAACTAATTTTAAAAAATTATAATACTGTTATATATAAAATTATATTAATTATAATAATATAATAATTATTTTATTTTAATAATTTTAATTATTATATAATTTGCAGAAATGATTTTTTTAAAATTACTATAAATTAAATAACCTTAACATTATTTTTAAATAGCAAGTCAATGCTTTAGATATAACACCAGATAAATATGTAATAGCAGCAGCTGGTTATCAACACATTCGAATGTATGATTTAGGATCCAATAATCCAAATCCAGTTATTAATTATGAGGGTGTTACGAAAAATGTCACGGGATTAGGATTTCAGGTTTCTTTATTTTTCAAAATTCAATTTTCATTTTTTATTTCTAAATTATTATTAATTCGCATTTTTTTTTTTACAGGGAGAAGGAAAATGGATGTACACAGGTGGAGAAGATTGTTCGGCAAGAATTTGGGACTTGAGGTATATAGATAAATTATTATTAATTTATATAATATAATAATAATTATTATTATTATTTAATGAATTTTTATTTTAAATGAATTTTTTTTAAAGTTTTAATCCATAAAACTTTTAAATATTATAACTTTGTAAAATAGAAAATTAAAACATTAATACTAATAAATAAATAAAAAAACTGTAAATGTAAAATTAATATTTCTTTAAATTTATTTATTTATTATTCATAGTTTATGCCTTTTGATTTTGAACGGACTTTCGGTATACACATAAACTTGTAATACAATATTAAATTAAATTAATATTAAAACATTAAACAAAACTTTAAAATTTAAATTCTTTTAATTATTTTCTATATTCAATTTAAAAATTATTTGAATTTTTTTTTCATTCTTTTCATTATACACGAGAAAGTATTATAATAATATTTTTACTTTTTTTTTTGTGAAATTCTAGAGCCAGTAGTTTTCAATGTCAAAGGATATTTCAAGTATCAGCGCCAGTAAATTGTGTATGTCTACATCCTAATCAATCGGAATTAATTGTCGGCGATCAAAGTGGATTGATACATTTATGGGATTTGCGCTCTGATCACAATGAACAATTGGTAATAAATTATAAAATTAAAAACAAAATTCTAATTTTTTTTTTTCTTCTAAACGAGATTAAATATCAATTATCGTCAGGGAAAATTTGGGTAATTAAAGAAATTAATTTCTAATTGATAGAATTTTTAAGACATCTAATTTTTATTTGTCCGAAATTACAAATTTGCCCCGAACAAATAATCTATAGAAAGATTTCGGCGTAGTAATTTTCACAAAATTGATCAATCACGATTTCTTGATAATTTCAAAATTGGTTAATTTTTGAAAATTGTGCCCAAAAATTTTCTGTCGATTTTTTGTTAAAGTAAATTTTTAATTATTGTGATTTGAAATGAATTTGGTTTTAAAAAGATTTTTTTAATGTCAGGAAAATTTGAAAAATTTATTCCTGTCGCAATTACTTTCTTTAGAGCGCGTCACATATTAATTAATTTATTTTATTAATTTCAATACATATATATATATATATAAATAATTAAAAATGGAATTGAAAAAATTATTGTCAACTTTTTAGATTCCAGAGGCAGAGGCGTCGATACAAGACATAGCCATAGATCCAGAGGGTACTTATATGGCGGCTGTAAATAATAAGGGTCATTGTTTTGTTTGGGCTTTAACCGGTGGAATTGAAGATGAGCCAACTCGACTTAATCCTCGTCATAAACTTGAAGCACATAAACGTTATGCACTTCGATGTAAATTTAGTCCCGATTCAACGTAAGAGAAATATTAATAATATAAGTAAATAGTAATTTTTTCCAATTTTTTTTTTTTTCTGTTAACTTTATTTTCTAAATATTATTATTTTTTTCAGTCTTCTTGTAACAACGTCAGCTGATCAAACAGCACGTGTTTGGAAAACAATGGATTTTTCTGAAGTTCAAGTTCTTCAACATGAAGCAAAACGTTGGGTTTGGGATGCAGCATTCAGTGGAGATTCACAATATATTTTCACTGGTAATAAAAATTGTTTTGTACAAAAAAAAAAAAAATAATAATTTTATTAAAGAAAAAACTAAATTTTTTTCCAGCATCTTCAGATGGAGTTGCTAGACTATGGAATATTGCCACTGGAACGGTGGAAAGAAAATATGAAGGTCATCAAAAAGCCATAACAGCACTTGCATTTCGTGATGAACTTCCGTCTACTAGTAATTAAAATAATTATTAATTTAGAATTTCAACGATCAAAACATTTTTTTTTTTTAAATTGTCACGAATTTTATTTTATTTTATTTTTTTTTCGCTATATTTATGTACATAAAGTGCTAATATGCAATAACAAATTTATACGAGAAACAAAATTAATGTGTAGTTGAAATTTTTTATCTAAAACTAATTTACGTATAGCATTATTTATAAAGCCGTTTTTATACGTATAATATAAAAGCATATAATGCATTTTTTGAAAATTGAAATTTTGTCCCAAAAAAAAAATTTGTACACATATATTTTGAAATATATATGTATATAACAATAAATGCAAATATTTGATACTTTGTAATTAGTAACGATTTTATTTTATTTTTTTATATTACTCTCATTCATTCTCTATGTAATTATTATTATTATTATTCGTTAAAAGTTACCAGTCTTAAAATAGATTTATATATATACGCTTCATAATTCTTTGTAGCATCGAACGTGTAAATAAAATTTAAAACATGAATACATTTTCTTGACTCTCTTTTTTCCAGCGATCACATTATTTAGCTTTTTCGTTTTTTTTTTATTTTTTGTTTTTTTTTGTTTTTTAATATTTATATTTCTATATTTATAAATTTTCAAGTAAAATTTGCACTTGCTATTTAAACGATTGGTAATCTATCGACATCTCCCATTTCGGTTATCGTTTCGCCATCCATTGTGTAACTTAACATAAATTTCAACGATAGTGTTTCCTGAAAAATTGATTACAATTTTTTTTTATTATCATTGTCTATTAGATCAAGTGAAGTAAATGTAAATAAAATTTCTAATTTTCAGCAATAAATCTATTTTTCATGCTTTTAAAAGGTAAATTTTTTTTTTTTTTAGTATTTATTTTTATTTTATCTATAAAAGTTTGTTTTAATTCACAAAGCTATTCATTACAAACAAATTTTGTTTAACTCAAAATTAGAAATTTTATATAATAATCTAATAAAAAATTATTTTCTGATAATTTGAAGAAAAAAAAAAAAATAATTACCTTGCAAGGATTTGCAATTAATGCAATTTGTGTGATTGCTGACGGAGGTAGAAATGGATTATGAGCCGGAAGTTCTGTACCCGATGGTGGTTGAAGTCTACATTTACATTTCTGAAAAATAGTGATTAATTGTAAATTATTACAATTACATTACACAAAATAATCTTAATATATTATTATAATTTATTTATATTTATTTAATTAAATTTAAATTTCTCCATTATAAAATTTGTTTTATTACTTTTATTTAATTTTGTTTGTTGAATTATTTATTATTGCAAAAATTATAACAATTTTATTAAAATTATTTTTAACATTCATATATAATTTCATCATTAATAAAAATTATTGTAACAATAAAAAAACTAATTTTTCTAATTTAATTTTAGTAAAAAAAAAAAAAAAAAAAATTCTACTTATATTTAATTTCATGATTTTTGTTTTGTTAACGAATGATAGTGAAATAATTTTTTAAATTTTCAATTAAAATATATTGTATTCACCTTGGGCACAACAGCTTGAAATAAATAATTACTCAAAGGTTTAGAATTTTTGCTCATTGTTGTAACGACAATAACGGATACATCGGCAGGTCGTGGACTATCTTTTGCAAAATGTAATACAACTGTAATTCCATTTTTCTCATCGATTACAGTTAACGGTGGAATTGTTCCTGTAATAATTTGTAATCATAAAAAAAAAAAAAATAAAAATACATTAATTTTATACTATTAATTAAACAAAAATTAGTTAAAAATTAATTAATAACTAATTTTCAAAATTTAATTAATAATTAATTTCACTAATATTGTTACATTTTATAATATTTTTTAAAGAATGGAATTTTTCAAATACCAGGTGTAATATTTTCCAATGAAACGGAAATATCCGCTAATGATTTAATTTCAATTTCATTATTAACTGACAATAATGGAATATCGTTATCTTCTTTTTCTTTTTTCTCTTCTTCATCTTTGTTCGTGATTTTATTATTAAGAAAATGAGATTCAGCATTATCAAAACTATCGTCACCATTCAATAACATTGGCACATCATGACTTGTAATTTCGCATTTTCCTTCAGATTCTTTTTTTAATTTTAATTCACTTTCCAATGATTTTTCCATTTCTTTTGCGATATTACAATTATTTGTTTGCATTGAATTTGAAAATGTTGATAATTTTTTTAAACTATTCATAGGTAATCGACTAGTTTCTTTGCTAAAAAGAAAAGTAAAAAAAAAAAGAGAATCATTTTTTATTATTTAAATTCACATTAATCAAATAATAATAAAAATAGAAATTATAATTTCTTTTAAAATAAAAAATTTTTTTTTATATAAAAAATATAGGAAGAAAAAAAATGAATCGAATTAAAATTACCTTGCATTATTGAATGATCCTTTTATTGTAACTGATGACAAACTTTCCTTGAGTAAAGATTCGCCCAATTCATTTAAATCATCTAATGCTTTTGTTTTACTGTCTCCTTTTGGCTTTATAGTCACACTTTCAACTGAATTTGAAAAATAAAATTTTCTCGTTTTGTTTTTTTTTTTGTTCTCTTATTCATTAATAACAAAATAATAGAATATCAAAAAAATTGATTTTTGGCAACGAAAAATTGCGTGTACCTTTCTCCAAAAAAACTATAGATTACGAAAATCGGCAACAACTCTGGAAAATTCTAATAAATTATACACTATTTTAAAAATTTTCTTTTTTTTCTTCTTTTTACTATATTTTAAACGAGTTCCATGTTAGAAATGAATTGATTTTTGTTTATTAGTTCATGCTCCATTTTTTGTTTTTCTTTCTTTTTTTTTTTGATCATGCTGAACATAATTTCAAATGGAGAAAGTTAAGCACGAAATGTCTCGTTAATAATTTTGTTAATTTTGTCCCAAAAAAAAAAAAAAATAAATTATATGAAATGTTAAGATGAAATTGAAATTATAACGAAAATTTTAGTTTGTTTTTTTTTCGATAATTAAGAAACAAACCTGTTTTATTAGACGCAGCAATATTGATTGGTTGCATTGATAAAGCAGGTAATAATGGAGGTGTTTCGGGAAGAGAGCTCGAATTTGTTCCCAATGAATTAAAAATATCACCTAAAATATCCATATCTGTTTGTGGTGGTAAATTATTGCATTCATTTTCATTGTTTGTTGAATTATTATTTGTGGAAATAATTTCATTTGGCGCTGAGAGATCCAATAATGATGAATTATTTGTAATATTTGTATTTGAGGATGTTTCTGTTGTTGATCGATTAAGTACAAGTGTTGTTGCATATTTATCGAAAACTTGATCTAATTCATCGTTCGCTGCAAGTACTTCTTCTGCAATTTTATTATTACTTTAAATTTTTTTTTATTAAATGAATTTAATCAAAGAAATAGAAAATTTTTATAACAGTAATTTTAAAATAATTAAATTTTTAAATTAAATTTAATTAATTTTTGATAAATTAGTTGAAGATTTAATTTTTCTTTCTTTTCCCTAATTATTAGAATCAATTTCTCAGAAAAAAAAAAAACTGAGTCAATTGTTTACTCACTTAGCATATCTTCGTTATCTTGAATTTCGTTAGCGAGTCTTAATATAATTGGTTTGAGACGTCCACAGGCATCGTGTAATTCTTTCATTAATTCTAAATCTTCAGTATTTGCCTGACCAGGTGTATATGAATTTAACATATCCGATAAAAGTCTAGCATTACTGTGAACAGATTCTAATTCCATGATTCTTCGCGAATTCTGCTGAAGTCTCTTCTCATCCTGAAAACAACAAAATTTTTTGTTTCTAAAATATAAAATATTTAGAATATATATTTTTATCAATACTTCAAAGTTTCATATACATATATATAAATGTTTATTTTAAGTTAATAATTATTTAATATTTTTTATTTTAGGCCTTCGAGTGATTTTTAATTGAAATTTTAGTTCTAAAAAAAAAAAAAAATAAACAAATACCTCTTTCACCATTGTTTTAATCAATTTATTTGCCGCTTGATAATCATCAGGATTTTTGCTTTGCAATAATTTTTGAAGAAGTTTCGATTTTTCTTCATCTTCGAATATTTGACTTTTTGACTTTCCAGCTTTTGTCCCATCAATAATTGCGTTTGTCGATTGCAATAATTCCTCCTGTTCGAAAAAATTTGAATTTTTTCTTTTATTTATTTATTTATTTTTAATCAATAATTAATAAAAAAGGAAAAATAAATAAAAAAATAATTAACGAAATTTAAAATATTAAAAATAATTCAAAAAAAAAAATTGCAATTTAAAAAAACGAACCTTTACTACTCCTTGTTTTTTAAGCATTTCAAAAGCTTCCTTTATTTTTATTTCCCGTGGATAATCCACAGTCCATGCGTATAATAATTCCAATACTTTTTCACGCACTGCAACTGGTGTTGAATTTCCAAGATATTTTGGTGAAACAAGTTTTATCATTTCATTGAGAAAACGAAATTTTCCCACCTCCGCGTGAAATAAACCTCCACATCGTCTCATACACGTATCTAACAGCTGTAAATATTCAAGTGTAACAAAAAATAGAAAAAAAAGTGTAAATATCTCTACCAAAAAAAATTTTTTTTTTCAAAAATTCGAAATAATATTTATTTATTTATAATAATAATAATAATAATAATAATAATAATATAATAATTATTATTAGGTATTATATGTTTATTTTATTATTTATTTATAGTTCACACCTTTCGGTTTTGGATGAATTTTCGACTTACATCTCACATATTCACTAAATTAACAATTATTAATTCACATTTATTAAATTTTCAGAAACAAAAAAAGTCGAAAAAGTCGATTTTTTTTTATTTTAACAAACATTTAATTGGTTAATAAATATTTTACTTTACACAACTATAATTATTAAATATTAAATTCATTTTATTAATTCTGTAATGAGAACAATTCTTTAATGAATATTATCAAGAAAATTTATTTCGAATATTTTAGAATCGAACTAATTGTAAGACAAATTATCAAAATTTTATTTAAGTAGGACAAATTTCTGAAAAAAAATTCTTAAAGTTACATTTTTATAATTAAAATTAAAAAATTAATTATAATTAGAATTAAAAAATTTTGTCATAGTTTTTAGTTTTGATGGTCAAAAAAATTTCAAGCAACACTTAATTAAGTTTTACAGATTTTTAAATAAAAAATTTTTTTTTAATAATAATTTTGGAATAGTTTATATTGAAATTTTTAGAAATAATTGAATTTCAAAAGATTTTGTTAATTTTCAGACAATAATTAAATTTTTTACAGAACTAAAAATAATTTATCAAATAATTTTAGATAACATTTTTGTAAAAGTAATTAAATTATCAAAGATTTACAATTTGGATTTTTGAAATTAATTGAATTTTAAGTGATTTTTAATTTAAAATTTTTCATGACTTCACTAAAAAATTTTTTAAGAAATTGCAGGCAAAAATGTAATAATTTGAAAAAATTTTTAAGTGAAAAATGGTTTCAGATAGATGATTTTTCGAAAAATATTATAAAAAACCATTACAAAAAAAATTGAATTTCAAAAGAGTTATAATATTGAAATTTTTAAATTTCAAAAAATTTTTAAAAATTTTAAATTGAAATTTTTAAAAATAATTGAATTTCTAAAAGATTGTGTTAAATTTCAGACAATAATTATAATAAGAGAAATTTCTAGTGATTTCTGTTGATAAAGAATTTATTAGAAATCATATAAAAAAATTGAATTCCAAAAGTTTTTAATTGAAAAATGGTTTCAGATAATTGAATTTTCGAAGAATATTATAATTGAAATTTTTGCAAATAATTAAATTTTAAGTAATTTTAAATTAAAAATTTTTGATAATTTTATTTTATAATTTTTTTTTTTTTTTAATTATAAACAATTATTAAATTTCATAAAAATTTTAATTGAAAAATAGTTTAAGATAATTGAATTTGTGAAGAATTTTATTAAAATTATGAAAACTAATTAATTTAATGACGAATTTTAATTAAAAATTTGTTAAATAATTGAAATAAAGAATATCTGAAGAAGATTTGTATCTTATACTAAAAAAAAACGTATTTTGTTTAAAATTTTTGTAAAAAAAAGTCGAAAAAGTCGTATTTTTGAAAAAAAAGTCAAAAACTTTTACTATTCCAGGTGAAGATTTTTTTTCGTAAAGTGGAAAAATTTTATTCTTATATTTTCTCATTTTAATTTCATTCTAATAGAGTTTAAATCCTTTTTGTATCATTATTATTAATTTTTCAAAAGAACATTTTTTAAAAATATTTAATAAATAATATTTATTATTATTATTATTATTATTATTATTTGCTGTGAATAACGAATAAAAAAAAAGGAAAATAAAAATAACACGTAAACAAAAGTCTCCAAAAGTAAAATGTTTCTTTTTTAAATCATGAATTCAAAAATTAAAAAAATATAATATTTACCGAAAGTGCTTGTAATGCCTCCCATTCGCTTGTTGATTCAACAATATGAGTTGCCAAAAGTTTACTAGCAATGTGTATACCTTCAGTTTCTTTTAAAATTGTTACGCAAAAAGCTTCAATAGCAGCAATGTCAGGTTTTTGTGGATTTTGTGGATTAGTTACCCTTTCTAAAAAAAAAATAAACACCTCATATTGTTTTTGTCAAAAAAAAAAAAAAAATTAACATAATTTATTGATAAAAATATCTGCAGTAAAATGTATATAGATATATATTTAATATAAATTAATATATAAATTCAGAGATATCACAGGTGTGATGATGACGAACCTGCATTGAAATTTATGGTCAATCAAAATATTTTGATAATGTTTTTTTTTTTTTTAAATTCAGTTTCAATTTATTTTAGTGAGAAAACTAAAATTCAAACTTACGAATAAGAGCTTCGAGACTTGTTGTTACCACATCCATGGTTATTATTTTTTTATTTTAGCATTTTTCTGACAGAAATTGACAGCTTGTGTGAATTATATATTGTATATTCTCTCTCCGTAAAACACAAATGTCGATAAAATAGGTGTTTTATAATATCGATCTGAGATGATAATACAGAATATCTACATTAATGTAGATTTCTATTTTATCGTATGTGAATAAATCGTATGGTAATAAAATTGAAAAAATTCTTAAATTTAGAGGTGTTAAATAACTAATTTACAAGAGGCGATATAAACAAAATAGAACAATATAAATTAATTAGTAATTGTATACAAAAAATGGAAAAATATTTAATTTCTAAAATTTAGTTATCGACAGATGTTTTTTTTTTTTTTGTTACAAATTTTAACCGTTAGAGTGAAACATTAAGATTTTTGTCCCACATTGAAAAATAATGTATTTCAATAGTGTTATTTACTGCTATTTTTGAAGTTGATAAATATTACGTAACGTTAGATGTATTGTAGTATTTCTAATATATAATTAATACATTTAAAAAAAATGAATTTTTGTTCTTTTTTCTTTTACGCACTTTGTATTCAGTTTCAACATAAATCATTTCAATTGTTTCCGTGGTGTAGTGGTTATCACATCCGCCTAACACGCGGAAGGTCCCCGGTTCGATCCCGGGCGGAAACATTTTTTTTTAATTTTTCTCTGAATAAAATTTAATTTCTATTAAAATAAGAAAGAATTTTTAAATTAACAATCAATTCTTAATTCTTATAATGAAAAAAAAAATTTGTTTCAAATAATCACTTACTTGACTATTATCAAATAAATATTTGCTAGAACCAAATCATTTTTATTTGAATTAAATATAAACTGTATTTGAACCAATAATTTCTGTGTTTAAAACGAATACCATTTAATTGATTTAAATGAAAATTATTTATTTCAAGTAAATATTTATTTGAGATATTTACATTTTCACAAAAAAATTTTAAAGCAATATAAAGTATAACTTTGAAAAATATCGACAAAAATGTAAATAAAAAAAAGCATATGTTACAATATTTTATTTTCAATAAATGAAGGGTAGAATGACAAAAGGGGTCAAGCGCCAATTCACTGTTTTTACAGGAAGTAAAAAAAACATTTTTAAAAATTTTGCAGGTCATTTAAAAAAAAACTGAGAAAACCGTTTCGATATATTAGTATGTTTTAATAAATAAACAACAATTTGTTGAAATAAACCTACATATTAACGATAAAATTAAAAAAAACTGTGGTTCCTTGAGGTTATATCAACTGTGCACATTTTCTTTAAACATTAATTATAAAAAAAATATACAGTTTAAAGAAAAACTGGAAAATTAGTTTCTTTCTATGGAATCGACGAAAAGAATAGAAAAAAAAATTCCTTTAAAAAATTGTTTGTTTTCAAGAAAATTAAGAATTAATTGCTTGCTTTGGAATTGAGCAATACTTTCATCTTTAAATTCAATTGTTCACTTAGTATAACCATAAAAATATTTAAAAATTAATAACAAAATGATTTTAAAATTGTTTAAAATTGAAAATACATTATTATTATTATTAATTTTATTAATTAAAATATTATTAAAATAAAATTAAAATAAAATATTAAAATAAAACATAAAAAAATAATTTTTTTTTTTATTTTGATAATATTATTGACTCACCACTTTCTTTTGTTTTTCAATCAGGTTGCAATAAAGTAAATTTGAGGCTATTTTATTAATTTAATTTTTATTAAAAACTGATTTAAATACGCAATAAAAAAGGAAATCCTTCTACAGAAATGTGTAAATGAATTTTCTTGATTTTTTTATGCAAAAACCTCATTTTCGATAAATTGGCGCTTGACCCCTTTTGTCATTCTACCCTTCAAATGTTTTTACTACTACTGCAGGTTTGTTGATAATTGCCAAGGTTTTACGAAATTTAAAAAAAAAATTGAAAAAATTCTGAATAATTTTTAGAAAAATTCATTAGAAACATTAATAAATTATCCCTTAGGGTCCAGTTTCATCAACTCCGGTTAAAAGTTAATCAGCGATTAAATCTCTAACCGACCAATCATGAGCAATTAAATTATCTTTAATCGTTGATTAACTTTTAACCAGAGTTGGTAAAACTGGCCCTTACTATATATATATTAATTTATAATTTAATTTTTATTTCAAACCATAAAAATTACTATATACTTTAATTATTTTATTTTAATAAAAGGAATAATTATCAAATTATTGATAATTTAAAAAAAAACATTATAGCTAAAAATGTATAATAATGTATTTATGTGAAATTCTATTATATATATTGACTAAACATTACATATTCATTCATGAGTGAAAAATTAATTCTTTTCAGTTACCATGGAAATGAAACAAATATAAACATGGCTCTTATTCTGTAGTTCGTAATATAGTGATTATGATCTCATTTCGTGTAATATTGACACTATTTTAAAGTAAGTTTCATATAATTAATTAATACATAGTTCTAAATTTAAGAATAACCTTGGCAACTGTTTATGAACATTTTATTTTCACCGAATTTAATATTCTTAAAATAAAAAACAATTCTTCAATTAAAAAATATTCTCCTTTTTTAAAGATAATAGAAGTTACAAGTAACTTTAATATATAGTGAAGAAAAAATAATTGAATAATACAATTAGATATGTATTTAATTTAATATACTTCATTTAATATACTGAAAAAAAATTATTTGATACACATAATCGGTTACATGACTATTATCAAATAAATATTTATTTGAGACGCAATTAAAAGGTATTTGTTATTTTTTATTTGCAATTCAGACTGATAACATGATTAAAGGATAATAATTAATAATTTTATATTCAGTTTCATTATTTGATAAATAATATTTTTAATAAGTACTAATAATTTTTAATATTTAATAATTATTTTAGATTTAGAAAAGTACAAAATGACTGAAAAATGAATTTATTATATATCGTGATTTAAGTAAATTTCCATTCGCCAAAATACCACAGAAAAAATAGCTAAAGCACAAATGAAAATCACAACACCCTTATACATTATTTAATGATAAAAAAATCTATATTACTTTGATTCTTATATTTCCCTTAATATTTATTTTCGAATATATTTTTGAAATTTATTTACGTAATATTTTGACAGCACAATTAAATTACATTCATTAAATTAAAAAGAAATAAAAGAAAAAATATTTTCTAACCTACAAAATTTTCCAATGCATACATTAAGATCATGGAGTAGTATAAGGAGACCGAACGACGTACATTGAAAGTGGACCAAATTTTGGTAACAGCTTTGGGATCAGAAATCATGCGAAACTGACCCACCCCTGAGCCTTCTTGTGACAACCATCTTGGTTTTTTATCTCTTTCTTTTGTATATATTAGAGAAACACGGAATGAAAACATGGCCACCACAACAAGGCTCTCACCAGATGGCGTATCGCAGTATTTCAGATCCCATTAGTGTCATGAAAATACGTAATGGAACACAAGCGCTTTCGTGGGAAATATGTAAACAGAGGGAAAAATTAGAAGTACGTTGAACATAACCCAAAAATACATTGCTTCTTATTTTTAAATCTTTTACAATGGCTGACTGTCCAGCTGAATTTAACACATTCAGTGGCGCTAGTGTTTCATTAGGTGTATTTTCATGACACTAAGCGGTTACCAAAATTTGGTCCACTTTTAACGCACTACTCCATGATTAAGATGCATGAATTTTACAAAAATTTTCGAATTATAAAATTGCTACTTATCGACGATTATTATCAATTTTGTCACTTTTTGATTTTAATCTCATTTATTCCTTAATTTTTTGAACTTCGCTGGTATTTATTTAGAAAGATCGCTTTTTTTTTTTACTTTTCATCGAAAATACTCGTGTCACACGAAGGACACGAAGTATCTCGATGTTGTCAAGTACTGCTGGAGTCATAAAACGACCATTAGGGTATGGTCAAGGCCTAAGCACAATAGAAACGTAACCGGAATCGTAATATTTAGAAAATAGTAGCTGCACAACTCCAGCAGATTTGAGTGTCAGCTTCGTCATGTTCCCAATCCTGGTAGGAGAGAATTGACGCAGGAGAAGTTTCACATAATAGACGTTTCATATTTTGGGAGTTTTACTCCCACCTCTCAAAATAATGTTTACGACATATTTGCATTCATATTTGTATTATTTATTAAAATTGTGATTGTTTATTACTAAAAACTTTGATAACAGCTATTAAAAATTCAATATATAAAAAATATTATATGAATAATAAAATGAAAATAATAAAATTAATTTTCTTCCATGAGAAGTTGAAAAAAGTTCGGATATATGAATCCACGAGAAAAAAGACTTTGGAGGCCAAAAATTTTAAGTTATGTTTTGTGATTTTAGAATTGAAGATACACAAAGAGAATCAACTCTTTATGTCAATAATGTCTTTATTAGATCCAAAATATTCAACAGAAATTTATTTTGATTTTACATAATTAAAAATGAACGTTTAATCAAACTAAAATTATCACTAAACATAACCTAAAATTTTTTGCCTTTAAGGTCCCTTTTCTCGTGGAGCGTCACATAGTATAATGGTTTATAATTTGGAAAATCAAGTTTCCACTGTACATACTTATAAAAAAAATTATTGAGAATTTCAATGAGAAATATGTCAGACAACAATGTTAAATGTAGCTTTATGAAAAAAATTTAAGAATAATAGTAATTACTTCAATGTATAGCATAAAAAAATATATATAGTATATACCTCTCAATGAGTAATTTATATATCATCAGTATATATAACAAGCGCGAGAGCGAGTAGAAACAGAATTGCTTCAGTCCGTCAATGTCAATTTTCGCTTAATATATCACGGATAACCAGAGAATCAGCAATGCCGTCTTTGATCTCGGATTTTCGCAAGAATCATCCTTGTCCACCTTCCCAAAACTCACCCCTCATGCCGCACACGCGTCCCATCGTTCTCGTGTAAATTCAATCTCACTGTTTGTACACGAAAAGAGTCATCCAATTGCCCCTCTTTCTGTCTCTTTCACTTTCGGCAACAGATTGAAAATTCTACACACAACGCAC